GCTTCGAGAGGAAGTTGGCAGGACAAAACAGTGAAGACCAGAGCCAGACCAGCCCTGAGAAAGCAGGAGGCAGCCCAAATCACCGTGGGCAGAGTGCTGTGGTAAATCCAGGTCGAATCAAAGCCATTTTCAGAATCTGAGTTAAAGACAGGCTGGCTGGTGGGGTCCAAGGCGATCATAATCAGGCAAGCCGGCAGTGATCTCGTTCCAAGAGTGTTGATGTAGAGAGGAGCTGGACCCATAATATCTGTGTGGGAATAGCAAAGTCCAGACTTGAGAAGGTGATGGGTCCTAGCCAAACTAGCTGCATCTCTGGGCACGGAATCCATTACAGAGAACTGTACCGGGGTGGAAATCCTGTCCGTGAGCGTGGATGAGGCCACACATGGAGGGTAGGGAGGAAGCCCATGCAGTGAAATCCAGGGATTTGGACAGGAGGTGCCCAGATGCTAGGATTAGCACCTCACAGCTGCTTTCATGCTGCTGACCCTCCCTCAGCTGTCACCTCCGGATCAGGCCTGTTTCCAGAGAAGTCTCCAAGAGGACGCAACAGAACCTGTAAGCCAGGCTGCGACGCTTGGCCCGAGTAGTTCCAAGAAAACGAAGGCATGCAGCTGCCAAATGCCCTGCTAGATGGGAGGCTCTGTGCTGAGTGCTTAGAAGGAACACTTGTCTGTGATTGAGGATGTTGTGGTTTGATTGCAAATGGCCTCCATTGACTCATAGGGAGTGACGTTGTTGGAGGAAGTGTCACTGGGGTGGGCCTTGAGGTTTTAGAAGCTTGAGCCAGGCCCAAAGTCTCTCCCTGCTGCCCCAGGACCCAGATGTAGAACGCTAAGCTGCTTCCCCAGCGTCTGCCTACATGCTCCCAGGCTTCCTACCATGAAAACAGTGGACTAAACCTCTGAACGGCTGCCAGGCCCGGTTAAACACTTTCTTTTTAAAAGATTGTTTATTTATTATGTATATAGTATTATGTCTGCATGTACACCTGCAGGCCAGAAGAGGGCGCCAGATCTCATTACAGATGGTTGGAAGCCAGCATGCGGCTTCTTTACAAGAGTTGCTGTGGTCATGCGTCTCCTCACAGTGACAGAAGCCCCAACTAAGACAGAAGAATGTTGTTTTGGGAAGATTGGAAACCGGATTAGACAAATTCTTTTGAGAAAGTTCTAGTCTAGAGGGAGAGATGAAGAGTGACTTAAATAATCACACAGTGTGCACTGTAGTGACCACAGTAAAGCACCAGAAACAGAAAGGAGTGGAGAGGAAATACAGGAGCAAAGCCGCCTGCTGACTAGGCACACCTGACTCTAAGCATTTAAATAGACGGTTGACAAGAAGGAACGGGACGGAACGTGGCTCGTTTAGTCCAGTCCTCCACTAGCTCCTTGGAGAACCTTAAACAAGGTGTGATGGTTCACGCCTGTAACCCTAATTCACACCTGTAACCCTGGTTCACGCCTGTAACCCTGGTTCACGCCTGTAACCCTGGTTCACGCCTGTAACCCTAGTTCACGCCTGTAACCCTAGTTCTTCACGCCTGTAACCCTAATTCACGCCTGTAACCCTGGTTCACACCTGTAACCTTAGTTCACCACCTGTAACCCTGGTTCACGCCTGTAACCCTGGTTCACGCCTGTAACCTTAGTTCACGCCTGTAACCCTGGTTCACGCCTGTAACCCTGGTTCACACCTGTAACCTTAGTTCACCACCTGTAACCCTGGTTCACGCCTGTAACCCTGGTTCACACCTGTAACCCTGGTTCACGCCTGTAACCCTGGTTCACGCCTGTAACCCTAGTTCACGCCTGTAACCCTGGTTCACACCTGTAACCCTGGTTCACCACCTGTAACCCTGGTTCACCACCTGTAACCCTGGTTCACCACCTGTAACCCTGGTTCACCACCTGTAACCCTAGATCACCACCTGTAACCCTGGTTCACAACTGTAACCCTGGTTCATGCCTGTAACCCTAGTTCACACCTGTAACCCTGGTTCACACCTGTAACCCTGGTTCACACCTGTAACCCTGGTTCACACCTGTAACCCTGGTTCACCACCTATAACCCTAGATCACCATCTGTAACCCTAGTTCACACCTGTAACCCTGGTTCACACCTGTAACCCTAGATCACCACCTGTAACCCTAATTCACGCCTGTAACCCTGGTTCACGCCTGTAACCCTAGCACTTGGAAGGTAGAAGCAGGACGATCAGAACTTTAAGGTCACCATCAGCTAAATGTGTGAGTCTAGGCAGCTTGGGCTACATAAGACTCTATCTCAGAGCAGCAGCAAAGTTTGTTAAGAGTGGACAGGGTTCAGAAAGATGGCTCTGAGGTCAAGAGCGCAGGCTGCCCTTGCAGAGGACCCAAGTTCAGTTCCCAGCACCCACGTGACAGCTCACAACCATCAACTCATATTTCCAGGAGGACCTGACACCCTCTTCTGGCCTCCACAGTCCCTGTGTGTGCATGGTACACACATGTGAAACACACACACACACACACACACACACACACACACACACACACACAACCAGAGACTGATACTGGGGCTCAAGCTTCAAGCTGAAGATCGGAAAAGCAAAGCAGCCAGCCACTAGCTCTCACCTCTACCTCAGGCTGAAAGGTCTGAGCCTGTCTCCATGAGCTCTCACCAAGTCAGACTGCTGCCTGTCCTCAGCGTAGCTGGAGAACCCATGCCTGAGACCAGCACTGAAGACCCTGCTCCTGTCTTTAATATTCCTGTAGTCCTGGGAGTAAACGTGTGAGCTCTGCTACTCTTTTAAGACTGATTCAATCTCCTGTAGTCCTGGGTGGCCTTGAACTCAGAGAGATTTGTCTGCCATTGTCTCCTGAGTCCTGGGATTGAGGGTGTGTGCCACCAGTGCCTGCCTTCTATGGCCAACTAGTGTGGCTGCTTTGTCATTTTGATCTCCAGTGGCTTTAATAAATCATAATATGTCAACACACACACACGTAATCAAAATACCCACCCACATAGAATCCACTCTATGCATACATACTCAGCTGAGTCAAAGGGCAACACACTGAAAGGCACGTCCAAATGATGACGCATGCTTCCGACGTGGAGCCTGACGAACACAGCAGCACTAGTGCGCACACAGCTGCGGGTTTTACACTGTGTGAATGCAGCAGGTTCCAGAGCACACCACAATGGCCAGCGTGTCTTCAGTGGAGTTAGTTAAACCATGAGCTAAGCTTTTATTGTGAAGGTGGCTGCTTGATAGTCATCCTACCCCTCAATTACACACACATGCACGGGCACACACACACACACACACACACACACACACACACTCCCCAAAACCTTTCCATCTAACTTAAAAAAAAATCGTCTATGTACCTTCTCAAGGCATGGTATTCAGGCCAGAAACATGATAATTTAAGGGCTATTGCTAACCAAGCCCTTGAAGACACTTCCCCCACAGATGCTTGAGGTTGGTGTCTGTTGGCTTGTTGCCCCTCTTTGGGGGTCAATGGAGCGCTGAGGGCTTTAGAATTTGTATTTCTCGTGTTTGCCATTGAAGTAAACTAGCTGAGGTGCCTTAGCTGGCTGGTTCTCTGAACTGCCTGCCGTGAATCAGGAGGAGAAAACAGTCAACGTGTTTCTTCCTGAGTGAGAACCCTTGGGTTCTTGGGAGAAAGCTGAGAGGGGACTCAGTCTGTGATCATCATCCACACCACCTACCATGAGGTTCCTGGCTTCAGAAGGCCAATTTGACTCTTGTCAGCACTCTTAAGTGAAATCAGGCTGTACGATACATTCTCGTGACAGGAGGCATAGGCCACATGTCATCTGTGGAATAAGACCCTTGCTTAGGAGAATGTGCTCAAGATCACATTAAATCAACCTCACGGAAAAATCATCACAAAAACTGGAAACCCCTTCTTGTGCTCTGTGCTTCCTGAGCCAACACAAAGGGACACTTCCAACCCCGAAGGAGACGCCTGTCTCTTCTCATCTGTCCCATCAGTGCCTGCAAGTGTGTCACCACCCTCAGCAATGTCACGTCTCCCTCGCCATTCCCGTGGGAGTGCGGCATTGACGGTTGTCAGAAGGGGGCAACATCTTTCCCAGTTCCATGTGTTTCCCTCCCTGTTTCTCTTTGGTCCTTCCATTCTGGGGCATTCTAGGCTATACCCTGAACATTTACATGTAACTCCCTCTCAGAGAGATCTTAGCAAGGGACAAGATTTTCACAGGTTAACAATGTGTGCCGAGGTCGTTTAACACACGACACTTTACAATTTACGGCAATTCTATGTATCAAAAAAAAGACTTGCATTAATTTGAGTATGTTCTTCGCAGCAGGAAGGCCTCATGGCCAGATGGATGGCTGTGGCAGCCAAGTGGTGAGAACTCCAGTAAGGAGGCAGCAGGCATGGAGAGGCCCTCACTCAACAGGCCCCTTTCCTCCTCACGTCTGAGATCCCAGCCCAGGAGATGCTGCCACCCAAACTCCGGGCAGTTCCTTCCCCCTTCAGAATAACCCCCTGAAAAGCCCTCACACACACAGTTGATGTTTGACATTAACCATCACAGCAATTATCTTCCTGTGCAACCCTGCAAAGACAGGAACAAACCACTGTAGCCAGAGGAGATGGCTTGCTTGTTTAATTTACTTACGTGTTCCTGTGTTAGGGGGTGACGAGAGCATTCTGTGGCACACATACTGAGGTCAACAGAAAACTTGTGGGAGTCAGTTTGTTCCTTCAAACACGTTTTGGGGATCAAATTAGTCCCCGAGCCGGCTCCCCAGCCCGTTTTATTTCTTCCTCAAACATCTAGGATGGAGACCTCTGGACTCGCTCTGGTAGTGTGGTTTCGGGTACCCTCAATCTTCACCTCTTGGTTGCTGAGGTGGTCCAAAGATGCACCCTCCACTTACTACAGTCGCTGATCAAACACCTTGGGACATGACACAACCTCACACGTGCAACCTTGCCAGTTTCACGACAGGAGACACACAATGCTTTTTCAGTTATTTTATTGGTGGCAGAGAAGTGCGCACAATCACAGATCTGAAGAACCTGCCAACAGCAAGGAGGACTCTGTTGCCAGCAGAATACAACCACTTTGGGTCCTTAACACAGACACAGTGCTTCACAAGAGATGGCTAGTTCGCAACAGAGTCACTTTCAAGTGCTTAATTGTGCTTCAAAGCATGAGGTAATTTCCTTTACCCGGTATCCTCCACTTCATCCCCTTTAATCCTCTCAAGGCCATCTACCCATGTTCCCTGAAAGCTGAGCCTTGTTCACAGTGTCTCCTTCTGTCTGTCTGCCCAAAAGAGAAGCTGCGGTGCCGTGGTTTCCCTGGTGCTGATGCAGGAGAGCTGGCTAGCACACTATTGTTCAGTTGCCTCTGCTCCCGCCCCTAGTCTCTGATGTCAAAGCTCACTGTACTTATTTGTCTCAGCCACCAAATCTGCCACACCCTGTGCCTGTGTAGTTGTGACTGCCCAGACAGGCTGTGGGAGCATTCCCTACTGGACATCAGCAGAGAAAGATCTATAGCTGTGCAGACATGAACCAGCTTGCGAGTTTAATCTTGAGACGGTCTTGCTTTGCTCCTGAGGAGGAATGAAGATTGAACTCATAGCCTCTGCCTCAGCCTTCTTAGTGCCTAGAGCGTATTAATTTACATTAGAAAGAGGGTATCGCCCTGTAGTCCAGGCTGTACTAGAACTCAGTCTGTAGCTCAGGCTGGCCTAGCTGAAATCCTCTTGCATTACCTGCCCAGGTCTTTTTATCTGTAGACACTTGAAAGAAGCCCTGCACTCCTGGGAAAGGAACCAGAGCCATGGGGACTGAAGAGCGATCTCCATTCTGTTTCCTGACCCTAAGGATGACTTCCAGGCCCCCAGGAAACCAGCCAGAGGGAATAGCAGCACGGCGCCTTATCTTAACTGTAAGGTACAGAACTTCCAGATCTGCTGCCATTCACCAAGGAGCAGTTGGAGTGGTGGACAGGACCTTGAGTTTACTGAGAGGAGCAAGGATGCAGACATGGATGGTCTGTTGGGTGCACCTGACAACACTGCTCAGAGGGATGCAGGTGACATAAGCGTGCCGATGACATATGCCCGGGGTGAGTGACATGAGCCTGGTGGAAACCCACAGCCCTCAGCTCTAACTTCCCAACGGAGCAGAAAAGATTTCCTTACAAAGAACGAAACGAAGCATGTCTGAGTGGAGAGCTGCGCTCAGAGCCCCCCCCCCCCCCAGCCCGTTATCTGTCAAGTATCACGTTTATATCAAAAGTTGGTTCCCATTATCAGCCCCCACATGAGGTAATGTTTACATGCTATTCATTTTCTTCGAGAGCTTCCTATCCTGTTTCTGGATGTGTGAGGTGTACATTGTGGGTGTGCCTCTGTCCAGTAGCACACATAATACAAAAAAATAAAATCTGAAACCCTTTGCTGCCTTAGGGGCAGAGATATGGAGAGCGTAGAAAGTGGAACAAATCCTGCCCTTGTCAAAACAAAGTGACAGTTGCTATCAGGGGTCCGTGAAACCACTCCCTGGGCCCATTGCCTGTAACTACAGCATCTGCATATTCATGAGAAACCCACTCAGCAAGGAAGGGTTCCTATACCTTACTCGGGTCAGAGCATGAAAAACTGGCGAAGCCCTTGGCCTTGATGTGACCAAAGAGTGCCTATTGCTCTAAATAGTTGCTCGGCATCCAATGGAAACAAGCAACTGTTGTCTTCTGAGAGGCCACCAGCCTCCGTCACAAAGTAAATTAAATGACATGATTTTGAATTAAGGACACTGGACTCTAATGTAGAACACAGAACTAGGAAGGCAAATAAAAGAATTTACAGAGGCAGCTTCGTACTTTTAATTCCCTTAAAGCAAACTGAAAGCAGAACACAAAGTCTACTCTTTTGCCTAGTCTGTGCTCAAAGCTGTCTCCACAGCCCAGGATCGCTCAGCAGAGGGAAGGTTTCTAGTTCTGACATGCTATTATCAAGCAACAACTGCTACGGTAAGGGTTTTATCTCAGAGTGGCCAAGGTAGGCTCTTGGCATCGCCACATAACTTGTTTCTTTTCAGATTATTTTGTCTACGTGTATAGGCCTGACTCTATTCTGTGTACCACATGCATGTAGGTACCCCGGAAGGCCAGAAGAGGGCATCAGATCCCCTGGAAGTAGAATTCAGGCAGCTGTGAGCTGCCAGATGGGTGCCGTGAACTGAACCCTGGGTGGCCGCAAGAGCAGTGAGCTGTCTTAAGCAGTGAACCATCTCCCAGAGCCACCGCAGAGTGTTTCTCCCAGCAGGAAAAACCACGGCTCCCTAACGTGTTCCTCAGCCACTTCCTCATGTGCTCACAAACACAGGCTGCCAGAAATTGCCCGTTTGCGTGGTAGCACCTGCTTCACTGCGATGGCTCGAAGCACTCCTCGGGCCCCGTGGCCTCTGCTTAGGCACCTTTAGTAGAATCCTGACTCTAACAACCACATTTCCATCAGCAAACCACATTAGCCAAGGCTCAGACTCTCTGCTTTCAAACTCCTGGTTTTCTCCAGAAAGCTGACAAACCCAGAAATGCAAATTAAGCTAACCATCATCTTAGCTAACAGTTGTGTTTATACCTGCTTACATGTGACTGGCTGAATCTCATTTGATCAATGCAATTAAACAGGAGATAATTGCAGTCGGTTATGCAGATATCAGCAATAATACTAATTTGTTGATTGCGCCCAGCAGATTAGCCTAGCATGTTCCTAATGCTATACTGTCTCTGTCCTTAAATGATCAATTAAATGTTGGGATAAGTGAGTCTTGAAGAAGGGGTAACTGCCTGGTTACAATGAGACTGTCTTGCTGCATTATGCCCCTGCAATTAATCAAATAGTGCACAAGGAAAAAGGGATTCCAGAGGTTCCTTTTATGTCATTTCAAAGGTTGGTCTCCTGTCCTGTTACTTCAGTAAGAATGGCAGGCTGCTCTCCGTATCAGACCTCCAATCTTCCTTCAACAGAGTCTGATGAAAACCTCAATAGGTGTTTACGTAAGAGGTCATGACATATGCTCTCTAATGGTCACACGGGCCACTCTTAGTGTAAGAGGTCATGACATATGCTCTCTGACGGTCACACGGGCCACTCTTTACGTAAGAGGTCATGACATATGCTCTCTAACGGTCACACAGGCCACTCTCCTTTAGAAATGTAAAGTCTTAAGTGGACTCGGGGCAGACAAGTCATCTCCCTCCTCTGAGGACTTGGTCTGTCCACTCTGGTCTACTTGACAGCTAATATACCTGCAAGTCTCTCCTAGATACATACTAGAGATGAGGTCAAAGCATCTCTTAGGATGCTACCTCATGTACAGGAGAGGGTGGAGAGCAGCAGAGCACCTCACCCAAGACTCGTGACTGCCAAGGGAAAGGCCCCCTAAGACATATTTTACCATCTCCTTCCATGTTCTCCTTCCCCAATTTTCTTACTGTTTCTGCCTAAAAGAATGGAACCAAAATGCTATGTGTGGTCAAACATCTTAAGGAATGTCTCTAATGGATGACGTACTCCCCCAGGACTCTGAAGAGACCCAAGTTCCATCAGCAAGATGAAAGCCACTGTTACCTAGAAGCCATGGTACCGTGGCTGGGCACTGACTTTCCAAGGATGAGTGTTTTCTATCAGGACCCGACTTTCTCCTGAATAAACTGGGAAATGAATCACTCACCACTCCCAAACAAGGAAAACACTGTCTGGAATTATTCTGTTAACCAGCCAGGTGCTCATTAATGTTCACCCAAGGGAATGGTACAAAGTATAGATGAAGGTCAAAACCCAGAGTGTATCTCCCTACCTACCCCTCCATCTTACATTCCACACTTAATGTGCAGCGGCTGTTATTTCCATGTGGTTGGTATTTTATCATGAATTCTGTCTAGGGCGATCACTTCAGCTCCAATATAATCTTAAAATATAAGATGATCCTTCCAGTGATGTAGGAATCCATGGACAAGAAAGACAGCTTGAGGTAATACTGCTTACATGCTGCTGGAGTCAGGCACAACTTCCAAAAGCATTTCAGCATGGTGACACAGAAAGTTCATGGTGATACTTCTATGTTCATTTTATGGTAAACACGTACTGGATACCTACTATGTGCTGGGCCTTGAGACTACAAAGATCTAGAAGGCATAGGACCCCTAGTCTCATAGCAGCACAATGAGCAGCTGGTTATAATACTATGTACAAAAGACAGTGGGAACAAGGAGTTTGAGCCTCACAGACACCCAAGGTGAGACTGGGCCACACCATGATACCAAGAAGGGATAGAGACCCCTTAGCTTGGACTTAAGGACCTGCAAATACATGGAGGAAAGAAATCCAGGTGACCAAATTTTTGATTAAAAGACAGAAACAAATCAAGGCATGACAGTGCATACCTGACACCCCAGAAATCAGAAGGTTGAGCCAGGAGCCTGGGCAGACATTGGGAGATACCATGCCAGCCAGGGCTACCTAGGGAGTCCAACTCCCCCCACCAAAAAAACAAAAAAACAAAACAAAAAAAAAACCCAGAATCCTCACCAGCAACAATAACAAAAAGCCCTGCTGAATGTTCCTGAGGATGCCCTGAGCCACAGGGACGCCACCTATGGAATGTCCTCAGATCCTTCTTCCACATACACAGAAGTCTCATTGGCTGGGAACCCTACCTTCTATGACATTTGGATCCTGTGCAGGACAAGGGGAGGCATTCATCATTACCTTTTCCAGAGAAAACTACAGCAGAGAAAGCTACAGTAAGCAATCGCTACCACGTTTCCAGGTGCCATTTGGCGTTGGCAATCACTACACGGTGCAGGTGACGTTTGGCGTTGGCAATCTTCTGTGGCTCAAGGAAAAATCTTGGTAACACATGAACACTGCAACTACAATATGCAAAACTACTAACAGGCGGTCACGGTTCGGAGCAGAGGTCTGTCTTCTGTGGCAGGCACACCGTCAACACACTGAGTTTCTCCATCAGGATAGCAAAACTGTCCAGTCGCTCTCCTCCCTTCCATACTGTGACAGAAGCAAAAACACATGTTTCAGTGTGAAACAAGACTACAGCAAACCCCCACAAACCCAAGCAGCCGCAACTATAAGATGAGGGCTCAGCCGTTAAGACCACACACTGACTTCCAGAGGACCCGGGTGTCTGCTCACACATGTCTCTAATGACAGCTCCATGGGATCCAGTGTCCTCTCTGGCCTCCGTGTGCACTAAAGTACACACACCTCCACCATCCCCATACACACATAAGTGAAAATGAAAATCTACAAAAACTAAATCTAGCAAATCCAGTATGTCAACACACACTTATAATTCCGGCACTTGGGAGATGAAGGCAAGAGGATCTGCAGGAATTTGAGGCTACCATGGGCTACATGAGACCCTGTCTCAATCAATAAAATGAAAATGGTCTTAGTATGAACCTACAGCTGTCTTTTCCCATCCTACAAAATAAGAGCTCGCTGCTCGCACTGCGTTTCCTGATGCACGAGGCCCAGGCTCCATCCGCCCTGAGACTGGTGTAGCAGTGTCAACACCCACCACGTGAGGGAAACACGAGGGGTGCCTTAGGAAAAAGAATCTGACACTTGCCCGATGAGAAGTCAGTGGGCTCTCCTTCCACGGTTCTGGCTTGAAGGCTTTTCCCCCAGGGTGGTGCTGCTGAACGGCAGCAGAATTTTAGGGTGTGTGGCTGGGTCACCGGGGCCACTCCCTATCCACTTAGGACAGTGGACCCACCTAAGCTGCAGGGTAACTTGCCACCTGCCAATCTCAAAGACCAGGCCAACGCTGAATCTCTAAAACTGTGAGCTAGACAAGCCTTTCCTCTGTATAAAATGACAAGCCTCGAGTATTTCGTTTTGATACTGTGAAGCCCGTCACTGCCACACTATTCAGGATGCCTTTCCTGTCTCTCCTCAGAATATGCAAATGCTTAAGAATGACACCTGATTTGGTTTAAAAAAAATGCATCTTGGCATCTCGTTCCTTCTTTCAGTGAAGAAATACTACTGGCTGTATTCTCCTTCCCTAGACCCTGTGCTAAACCCCCAGGGGACATAGAGAGAAGTGAAGAACTCCAGCGTTAAAACAGCTCTAGGAGGGGACAAATGTATGACTGATTATAACGGAACTTCGGGGTCCTGGATGGCTCACGAGGCTTTTAAAAGGCCCCCACAGGGGTTTCAGGTCTAGCCTGGTCTATACCGGGAGACCCCGTCTCAAAAACAAACTCAGTGATTAAAAAGTTCCTACAGGGGATGAACACTGAAGGTCAGCCATGACCCTGTCAGGCAACCAAACTGTAGGGGGCTGGGCAGAGACAGGTAGCATCACGGAGCAAAGCGTCTGGGGAAGAGACAACCTAGAGAGTGGAGGCCGGGATGAGTAGGGGGGGCAGAGACACAAGAGCAGACAGCATGGCCAGCATTGCCCTAGTCTACCTTGGCTTCTGCAAAAATCCAGGAGTGCCTTTCCTCGCTGATTATAAAAAGAAATAAAGGGGGCGGGGAGAAGAAACTGTCAAACTCTCCCCCTGCAGCAGGTATTTATAGGAACTGAGTGTCCAGGACCGAATAATCGGCTCATGGGACAAGCACTTACTGAGCCTAGCACTCGGGGGAACAGATGTTAAGTCAGATCTGAGGTTTCAGAGATTTCTCCCCGGGTCATACTGGCAAGAGCCTTGGTTTCTCTTTCCCTTGTTTTTTTTTTTTTTTTTTTTTTTTGTGGTTGTTACTCTTGTCTCCAATTTTGTGGAACACTTTGCAGGGAAACATCATGTTTCCATGTAACACCCAAAGAGATCAAACGTTCAACATGATATAACACACCATACTTTTTTTCCCCTCAGTAATTACTAAGATTATTTTTCTTGGAAACAGACAAGCTAGTCGCTTGGCTAACCAGCACCAATTTGCCATCTTGTAAGAGGATAATTTGGAGTCTTGAGGACACAAGCACAAAATAATTGGGGGGGATGAGGTTTTGATTACAGATGGGACATGCAGGGCACTCGCGCTTCGTGACTGAGTCTAAGTCACTCCCCGATCTCTGTCTCTGTTCAGTGTGGGTTCTGAGTGCACCATTGGGCTTTTCATTTGTTTTTAAAAATAGGCTCTCTTGTAGCACAGGCTGGCCTCAAATTTGCAACATATCTGATGGCCATGAACTTCTGATCCTCCCACCTCCGATCCCCAAGTGTGGAATTGTAGGCACGCACCCCAAACACCGCTGGTTGTATGCAGGGCAGCCCAGGGCTTCCCGTGTGCTAGAAAGCCCAGTACCTGCCAAGCTGCATCCCTAGCCCACGTTGGATTCATGAGTCAAGGGGGAATGTTCTGGTTTTCTCAACTGTCTACCATGCGTGTCTTTTGTTATTTTCTTCTTTTTCTATTGTGGGTGTGTGCATGTGTGTTGTGCATGTATATGCATTTCTGTGTTTGTGGACACACACGTGGGCACATGCATGGACAGTCCCAAGGTCAACATTCTTCTACCTTATTCCTAGAGGTAGGGTCTCTCAATCAAACCCAGAGCTCACCGATACGGTCATCTTACTAACCACTTGCTCTGGGAACTCCCCTGGTTCTCTTTCAGAGGCTGGAATTACCAGCTGAGCTGCCATGCCCACGCAGCATTTATAGAGGATTCTGGAGACCTGAACATCTATCACCTATATGCGTCTTTTCTATTTTAGCATTTTCTTTCAGATAGGCCTCACTATGTATCCCTGGTGGACCTGAACTCCCTATGTAGACCAGGCTGGCCTTGAACTCATCGATTCCCCTGCTCATACCTCCCAAGCACAGGGACTCAAGCCATGCTCCACCTCACCAAGCTCCTTATGAACATAAGCCCTAAGGTTGGGTTTGCTTGTAATATTTCTTTAATTTTTACTTTGTGTACCTAAGTATTTTGCTACATGCATGTATGTGTGCCATATGTGTGGGGTGCCTCAGGCACGCAGAAGAGGGCACCGGATCTGGAACTGGAGCTGTGAGCTGACTTATGGGAAATGAACCCAGGTCCACTTCAAGGACAGGAAACGCCGTTAACCTCTGAGCCACCTCCCAGCTGGCTCCCGGGTAAACATGTCTACCTGGATATCAGTCAACTTCCCCAAGATGCGGCTTGCAAGCTTGGGGCCGTTCTCCATTGTCGGGATGTGCAGCATCTGCAGGAGAAGGGAGAAAGTGGTCTGAGGGTAGGAAGCACATGTGGTGGCAGTGTCCTGTAACACGCCGTGTCCTGTGAGGTGGAGGCCCAGGGAGGCACCCAACACACCTGTCACACATGCTGCCTCCAACACCTGCGTCCTTTCTGCTCGGGGTTTGGATAAAAACCAGCCAGCCGAGGACAGCTCATTCGTTCCCTACCAACTCAACCAAGGGCACAAAAAGTTGGAATGCCACTCTTCGAGATGGTTCTAAGGACTTCGGGAGACTAAAAGGGTCCCTGAAACAGTAGATGAACTCAACCCAGGATTCTAAGAATCCACAGGATGAATAGTTGCCCTCTTTTGAACCCTCTGGCAAGACACCAGAACTCAAAGACGTGTTGCAACAAACAAAAAGTCATTTCAAAGGGATAAATTAAAGCAAGTCTCGTCTCCAGTCACAAAAGGGGTTTCTGAACCTGTGTCTGGGGCACGGCGTACCTCCAAGGGCCACAAGTCCCATGGGAAGGCAAGGTTAAATTCATAGCTGAAAGAGATTGAGCCGTGCCCATTCATGCCTGCCTGACTGGCTGGCTTTTGATGGTCTGATTTTAGTAGATAGCTCATATTCTCAAAGACTCCTCCTATTATGCTTTTTAGTATAATAGGATAATTACGAACCCTTTGGGCTCTGCATATCTCTCAGAAGCATTTAGGAGAAGTATTAAAAATAAGTTAACCTTTGTAAACTTTTTATTTCTAGAGTGGAGTAACAATTGGATTTTATTACTAAAATGTACCAATATCTACGTAGATATTGCCATAAAATACTCAAACTAGCCCCTTACAATCTTCTCTTCCTCTCTTTGCTTTTCTCTAACGCTCTCTGGCATGCATACAGCGTCCCCTTCTCTGCCACATGGACATAAAACCAGGGAGTTCATTCACAGTGAAATAATCTGTAATAATAATAATTACAATAATAATCACAATCAGCTGAGATTGTAATGTTGAATTCACAAACCAGAGGATTTACATTTAACAAGTCATCTGAAGCAGTTAGTCTTGTAGGAATAACAAGCATACACCTATACACAGTTACATACTGTCTACATGCCTATAGAGTAATGTCTACACAGTTCAGACTGCCTACATGCCTATAGAGTAATGTCTACACAGTTCAGACTGCCTACATGTCTATAGAGTAATGTCTACACAGTTCAGACTGCCTACATGTCTATAGAGTAATGTCTACACAGTTCAGACTGCCTACATGCCTATAGAGTAATGTCTACACAGTTCAGACTGCCTATACACTCATAGAGTAACATTTACACATTTATGGAATGCCTGTAAAATAACTCTATCTTTGCACTCTAAAGATAGAGGAAGGCAGATGTGCATAGGGATTGGATTTTGCTATAAAAGGGAAAAGCCTCCAGCAGGCAACATAATGCATGTATGGTGCAGGTAAAATTGGATCAGTGGGGGCTGGAGAGATGGCTCAACGGTCAAGAGCACTGCTGTGCTTCCAGAGGCCCAGGTTTGACTCCCGGCACCCACACAGTGGCTCACAATCACCTGTGATAGCAGTTTCAGGGGCCAACACCCTTTTCTGGCCTCCACAGACACTGCATGCCCACGGTACACAGACAGACATGCAGACAAAATACCCATACACCCATACACATGAAATAAAATAAATAAGTCTGCTCTTTAGAAATTAGACTAATGTAGTAGAGAGGTAACTATCTTTTTTCTCACAACTAAATCCTTGAGTTGCTTCAGACATCTGAGTAAGCCCGGCGCGCACCACTTGGAATATCTGCACAGTGGTCTACAGCAGTAACAATAGCGGCAGACGGAAGACAGACAATTCTCACGTGCATTTTGTAGCTATTACTACTCCACTCCTACAGCAGCGTCCTGGAACCAGATAGGACAGAACCAGGTAAGCGTGGAAGTCCCTGGGCACAGCTCCACATTCACCAGGACGAAGCTGACTGGCTGTCATGTCTGAACTCTCACTAAACCACCGGGAGGATGAAGCGCTGTACCAACACAGGTCCAACCGGCTTGGCTTTCCCTCGCACACCTTATGACTTCATTAAGTCACAGGTAAATGTTTACCTCTTTAACAATTCCATTCCTGCACTTTCTCACCGTGAGCATCGGGTAGAGGGAGGGTCTGCCAAGCACATGGGGTCAGAGGTAAGCTAAGCTTCTAGAATTGGTTTGTCTCTCCTTCCGCTGTGTGGGTCCCAAGGACCAAAACTCAGGTTTGCAGCCTGGATGATAAGTGTCTTCACCACTGTTCCATCTCGCCAACTCTGGGGCAAAACTAGGGTTAGGAATGACTCTGTCTTACCTGGCCCTTGTACAGAATATCTGAAACCGGGCAGACAACGCAGGCCGTCCCTGAGCCAAACATCTCCTTCACTCTGTTCTCCTTGAGGGCAGTGGTCAGGTCATCCATGGTGAGGTACCTCTCACACACCTTAAACTCACCCTGTTTGGAATATTACAAGTGAAAAAGAAAATCAGTGCTTGTTGTTGGATCTGGCTGAATTTGGATGGTGTCATAATGGTCCTCTGAGAGAAGCAGAAAAGGACACACTGTGTGATTGCCCTAACATGTTGAGTGGGAAGGGACACACTGTGTGATTCTCCAATGAACTGAGCAACCTAATTCCAAATGACAGTCATCAAGATGCTCACCATGGATTCATGGCATGTTTTCACACATGCCTGTTACAGGATGTCATAAGTAAGGTCTCACACACTGACTCGCTCTAAGTGCTACTTAGTGCATTTCCCACATCTTTTACAGTAAGGAGAACCACTGATTGCATCATGCACCAGTACGGGGACAGCTGCCACTGACCACGTGCCAGCCGCGTGCCCAAGTCTACAGCGGCATCATCTCTACAGCTGAGGACACTTGGCTCCCAGAAGCCTGGGGGGCTTCCTTCAGACCAAACGTCTAGTAACAGTAGACACTAGCCCTGATCTGATTGCCTTCAGGAACGGGAAAAAAAAATCATAAGCTGAGTTCATATAGCTGAAAATGTCACTTTTTGTTAGGAGCTAATATTTTGACTTCATGAGAAATTAAACCAAGGGGTGCTGGGATTGTTCAAAATTAAATAAATTACTAAACAATTTGTGTTCCAGAAAGTCAGCAAACAGTACTAAAAACAGTTGAGGTCTGTGTTTATGGAGAGAAAAATAAACCAGCTTGCAAGTCAACAGAATCGTGCTTGCTTGGCTGCTCCTCATCTCTGGGCTAGTTCCCCTGTCTGGCAAGTTTGACCCAAGTGCCTCTTGGCATGTTTCTGTTTCAGTGTAGCTTTAAGATAAACTGCAGTTAAAGAGTTGGGAAAGACCTCTCCATAATCACCTGTTTGCCAAGCTCAGGACCCGGGGCTGTAGGACGAGCTCAGGCTCAAACCTTTCATCGAGCCTGCTGCACTTGGTCTATTTGTTTTAATAAAGCAGAAACTGCTGTGCCTCGAAAAGCCATGTTTCCAAGTGCAGACATATTTGGGACAGGGCAAGCTGTCTGGAATTAAACCAACAGTTTACAAATGTCACGCCCAGTGTGCCAGCCAACGGCAGCAGTTGTGTTTTGTCTACTCTGAACGTGGTAGGATGATTTAGCGCATTTCCTCTACTTTCAGTCTTTTCCAGAGAAGCGGCTGGTCTCTGGAGATCATGTCTAAGCATTTATCTACCGGGACTGTCTGGCCACAGTGCGCTCAGAGCATTTTCATGGTCTCTGGGGACCTGTAGAACATACGGGTCACAAGTGCCAGCCAAGAACTCGTGCCATCCAGCCAATTCACTCCACATCTACCTGACAAACGCCGCGTCCTTTCAAAGAACGGTGCTCCTGTCTCTTTTGCATGCATTTGAAAGTTTACTGCAAACAACTTCATATTTGCTTTGAGTGCTCTTACGTTTTAAAATAAGCATGTGTAGAAATCTAAGACAGTGGGGAGGTGGGGGGAGGCAGTAGAGGGAAAAAAAAGACAAACCAACCTTTACGCTGATATTAATGTGTCAGTGAAAATCTGTAGCTCCTATAACGGTCACGGGCACAAAAAATACAGGGTGTGTCACCAATGCAATAAGGAATAACTTACAATTGAAGTTAAGGTCTGGGTGGAAACACCCAGGTAAGCCAGTAGTAGAAGACACCCTGTGCACAGACTGAGCCTAGTTAGAATCCCTCCTCACTTACACAGCCTGTTCAGCTGGTCCTCTGTATGCCCTATCCGGAAAAAAAACCACTTACTGGCTGGTTTTGCCAACACAGACCTTCTAGAGAGATCTGCTAAAGGTAAGATTTAAAGATTGGATGACACTGGTGAGAAGCACAGGATATGGTATCATCGCACAGAGGGGCTGGCTTTGGTGACTCCGCCTTGGGCTTACGGGGGTTGTCTGGGTCAAGGGCACCCACCCACTGTCGCGCCAGCTCTAGGATGCTTTGCCTCGTCACTCCCGGGAGAATGATGCCATCTAGCGGAGGCGTCGCCAGCTCTTCCTCTGTCAATCAGAAACAGGGGGTGTTTGCAACATTTCACTCGTTAGACATGTCACAGCAAGAGCCACCTTCAAAGCCGCCTCTCACAATGTGGCTAACAGTAAGCCATGCAGGTAACTAATTCCACTGCCCTGCATCGCTGGGTTGCTCAAATCTCCACTCACTTTTCAGACAGATGCTTACTTTAATGTAAGAGCAAGAGAGACAGCTCAGCCGGTTAGAACAGGTATTGCACTTGTAAGGACCAGAGTTCGGCTCCCAGCAGCCATGTAAGGGGCTCACAACTGCCTGTAGCTCTGTCTCCACGGGACCTAGCCCTCTCCCCGTATCTGTGGGCACTGCACACAGATGCACACACACACATAAAAAAATGAATAAAACAAATCTTCCTAAATAGTCAAAAAACAAAAAGGAACCAGTGAGATGGTAAAAGGCACTAGGTTCAGAGTCTCTCCCCGAGTCCAACCCTCTGGAAACCCCTAAAAGGTAGTCCCTCATCTGTCTTCCACGTATCCTTAAGCAGTGAAACAATGAAATGCTTTCTAAGGGTAGGAAAGGCTGGGGTGGCAGTTCAGCACTTAGGAGCACTGTCTATGTTTGCAGAGGACCTAACTTGGGCACCTAAAAACCGTCCGTCTGTAACTCTAGTTCCCAGGGTTCCAACACCCTCTTCTGGCTGCCAAGGGCACCTGCACATGTGGAAAGCTCACACGTACACACTAAGGAATGTGCGGTATGTACTCATGCACCCACGCGAAATAATAAATAGAAGTGAGAATTAAGGAACGCTCTTCAAGATGAGGATCCGCATCAAAATAATTCCTTATAGATAAAAGCTGGCTGGCCCTTAGCACAACAAACGTAACACAGGATCCATGTCAGTGCCATACACAGCACTTGTGAGGAGCCTGTTACCTCAGAGCTGGGTAGCCTGAGCAGGGGGATGACTGGTAGCAAGCCCTTAGCAGGGCCTGAGTTCAGATCCCAGCACCCATGTAAATGCTGGATGGAGGGGTCATACTTCGGTGCTGCAGAGGCAGGGACAGGTTTACTGGCTAGTTAGTCTAGCCAAATCAGTAGCCCTAGGCTCACCTCGTGTCTCAAAATATAAGATGGAAAACACTCTACCTCAATCTCTGGCCTCCACAAGCAATGTACCCACACACACACACACACTCTCTCTCTCTCTCATGTGCGCATACACAGACACATTCGTGTGCGCATGCACACATGCATGCACATACATGCACACACACAACAGACACACATACACACATACACACACACACATGCGTGTGCGCGCATGTGCACGCGCGAGGTTATTCCTCCTGGTGCTGCTGGCACACTGCCTTCTAGAAGCCCACGTCGCCGGCCTCATAAGCTACACAGGCGTTGGTGCGAATGACTGAGGTTCAGTCTTTCCCCAAGAGATCTGAACGCAGTGGGCTCTGTGTGAGCTGAGGCACCTGCTCTGCAAAAGAAAAGAGAACCTCTGAGCACAATCTCAAGAGGTGAACCGCTGGTCCCCAACATGAAGACCCAGTGAGCCCTCCACCAAGAAGTCCAGGCACAGTGGTCCAGCTGCAAGCAGTAGGCGGTCCTCGCCTACACAAGCCCCTCTCAGAAGCCGGTACTCTGGTGGATCAGAAGGCAGAGTGCATGCATGTGAAGGCCTGGGTATGATCCCTGCACCACAGGAAATGGGTGAGGATGACGCAGGGCTGTAATCCCAGCACTAGGGAGGTGGAGGCAGAATTGGGAGTTCAAGGTCATCCTTAGATGGGATTTGAGACTAGACTAGGCTACATGAAACCCTGTCTTAAAAAGCCATCTTCAGTGGTCAACGTCTCCCCTTCCTTCCCACCTCTGGCTTCCAGCAATGTGGTCCAACAAGCCTTAGTTTGCCACCTGATGAAGATGTGAACCTTATAGAAGATGCCTTATCTATTACTCATCACCTGCTTGAAGGGATTCACAAACACGCTTCAAGGAACACCAAGCAGAAGCTGTGGGGCAGCTGCCCTTAAATACAGTTAAAAACTTTAGAAGTAACGCACTTCAATCCTGATGCTACAGGAGAAACAGATGTGGATTTCCCCAGGCTACTGACAATGAGTAGAAGCCATGACCACACACAGATCAAGGATCACTACACTATGTCTCAGGGTGGGGTGGATCTAAGCTCTTTATCTCCCTAACAGTTACCAGAATAGAGATCTGTCCATCTTTGTATGCCCCAGTCCCTGCGTCATGCCTGGCCTCGCGTCGACTATAAGGTTTTTTGTTTTATTCTGATGTGTATGGGTATTTCACCTACCTGTACTTATAGATACTGCATACATGCAGTACCCACAGAGGCCAGAAGAGGGCACCAGAGACCCCAGAACTGGAGTTACGAGTTAGAGCTGCCAGGAGTGCTGGGAACTGAACCTTGATGCTTTGAAAAAGCAGTGCTCGGAACCACTGGGGCATGCCCCAGGCCCCTACAGTATTTTTTAATTTTACAAAATGAATGAATGAATCGTCTTTGCTAGGCTACAGCTGTTTGATTTGGAGGGATTATTCATTGTTTGAAAATTGCTTTCTAGAAAGGAGAAATTGCTTCTGGCAATGTTCCCGAGGCTACTTGCAATTTACAAGTGTTAATGATCTCAGAATAAGTGTGTTTTGTGATAGCTCGTTAGCTAGACACAGAAATGTGTGTGCGCGTGCATGTGTGTGTGAGCGTGCGGTTTTCACACACACACACACACACACACACACTCAGACCTTTCCTCCAGTTAGCTCAACTCTAAGACAACACCGAGTTAAAAGCAAACAGCAGCCCTTGCCGTGTGCAAAGGCTGTGGTGTGAAATGAATTTAGCATCCGACTGTAACCACCAGCCTGAAGTCAAGAGGCAAAACATCTGTTCCCCTGGTTCCCAGACAGAACCGATGACACCACGACAACATTTGGGTGAGAAGTGTTCACTTTTCCTCTGCGACCACAAACACACTCCCAGGGGCCAGAGCCGGGAGGGAAACAGCCGTACAGAGGCAGCCTGTCACTCAGCGAACTCTGGGGGCTGGTTACTGCCCTAAGTTCTGTGAGCCACAGTTTCCTCTCCCTCCTCCCTCTCCAAGGAGGGACATGCAAGGACTGTGCCAGACCGTGGCTGACCCAGAAAAAGGACTAAAGAGGCCCAAGGGAGAGGACACCTTTTGTTTCTTATTATTGGATGAGTGTGTGTGTGTGTGTGTGTGTGTGTGTGTGTGTGTGTGTGTGTGTGTGTGTTTGTTAAGAGAGAGAGAGTGCCGGCGGGGCGGGGCGGGGCGGGGCCGGCTCCTGGAGCTGGAATTATAGGCAGCTGTGAGCTGCCAGACACAGGTACTGAGAACTGAATGTGTCGAGCCTGGAAACACCCTGGCCACTCCCAGTCGCCCCCTTTCGCCCCAACTGAAGGAGCTTGTGCAGATTACAACATCTGGCTCTCATTAAGTACTCTGTGCTTTGCAGGAGGCGGAGCCGGAGCCACTCATTCCCACTCTGATGTTTTACCCACAGCCATGCAAGAACGCTCTGTGACCTCTAAGGAACAATTAGCCACCAGGACAACCTCCAGAGCTGTAATGCAGGTGGTACTTAGGTCCATGGTATCTCCCATAAATGGTGGTGTCACTGTTTCTGAATGATCTCTCTGTTTGTGCTTGTGGTGGTTTGCGGTGCTGGATGGATGGGGTCAGGGACCGGCGTGGGCAGGGAGGAAGACATCTCCTAAGCACAGAGACTGGCGACAGCCACCTCTCTAGCATCGCCAAGGAGATACCTTCATGAGAGGCCCTCAAATCCCAGCATAAATTTTGTTTCCTTACATTTCCAAGTACAAACAGCAGGAGCAAAAGTGTGCCTGGTGTGTCTGGCTGAATCATGTGCCCAGGGCTGGAGGAGACAGCCCAGCAGAGAGACAGCCTAGCAGAGAGACAGCCCAGCAGAGACAGAGACACAGCCCAGCAGGGAGACAGCCTAGCAGAGAGACAGCCTAGCAGAGAGACAGCCTAGCAGGGAGACAGCCTAGCAGAGAGACAGCCTAGCAGGGAGACAGCCTAGCAGAGACACAGCCCAGCAGGGAGACAGCCCAGCAGGGAGACAGCCTAGCAGAGACACGGCCTAGCAGAGAGACAGCCCAGCAGAGACACAGCCTAGCAGGGAGACAGCCCAGCAGAGACACAGCCCAGCAGAGACACAGCCCAGCAGAGAGACAGCCCAGCAGAGACACAGCCCAGCAGAGACACAGCCCAGCAGAGAGACAGCCTAGCAGAGACACAGCCTAGCAGGGAGACAGCCTAGCAGAGACACAGCCTAACAGAGACACAGCCTAGCAGAGAGACAGCCTAGCAGAGACACAGCCTAGCAGAGAGACAGCCTAACAGAGACACAGCCTAGCAGAGGCGCCCAGGGCCACCTCACCCTTAGATGGAATGTAAGGCTCACCTTGTGCTGCACTCAACCTCACGTGAACCACGCCCCCCACAGCAAAATAAAGTAAATGTGGGGGGGCGGGCGGGGTGTTATGCAAAGCAACAAGTGCCTTTAAAAATGTTCACTGAGGCCAAGACTGGGTGCCTAAAATATCATTTAATTCTGTGTTTGTGTGTGTGTGTGTGTGTGTGTGTGTGTGTGTGTGTGTGTACATGTGCATGCATGAGTGAGTGTGTGTGTGTGGTCTGTGTGTAAGCACACATACATGTGCATGTGTGAGGGGCGAATGTGTGCATGTGGGTGTGCGCATACGTGCAGAAACCAGAGGGCAACACTGAGTCCTTCCCTCTATCGCTCTCCATCTTGTTCTTGAGTCAGGGTCTTTCGTTGGTCACTGAGTCCCTAGGATCTGCATGTCTCCACATCCTAACGGTGGTGTGAAAAAAAAAAACGAACAGCCAGCCACACCCTGACTTCACTTCACATTTTCAGTGTCTATAATCACTTACTGTGAAACAAACAACCAAAAACTGTAATAGGTCTGAAAATGTGCTCCTAAATTTCACATGCCAGTCAAAACCCTAACGAGGGTCTGCTCTGTTCCTTGCCTGGGATCGGTTAGCTCAACACCATATAAACTGCCAACATTCCACTGAACCCGTTTCATATCAAAGGCAGACACTGAGCATTCAGGATGCTAGAGACAGCCCCGAATTTCAAGTCACATAGAGGGTCGCATGCTCATCATTCCAGCATCCCACGGCCTGCAGCAGGAGGGTTCCTGTAAGTTTGGGTGGGTACAGACTACAGAGTGGGACCCTGCCTCAAAACAAAACAAAAAAACCTCAAGGCAGGTATGCTATAATCCCCCATACTCAGGATGTAGAGAATGGAGGATTTGAAGTTCAAAGCTAGCCTTGGCCGCGTAGTGAGTTCCAGGTTATTCTGGGCTATATGCACAGGACCTTGTCGTAAAAAAAAAAAGAAACAACAGAATTTACATGTAGTGGGGCCACAGGAGTGAATGGACCCCGATCTACTGGCAACCTCAGGATACACACTGGGTTATATTAAAGAGTACAGTTTATATTGTGTGGGAATATATGGATACATGGATGCCGGGGCTTTCGGTGGAGTTGGGAGGCAGGGTGGGGGGTGTCCTCTCTTTCCACCTTGTGGGTAGAGAGTGTTGAACCTGGGGTCATCAGGCTTGGTGGCAGCCCTAAGAGTGTAGGTTAATCAAATGGAGATGCAGATGCAAAGAAAGCCTACAGGGATTCTGAGATGTTGCCTAAATGTGTAAAAGAGAAACCAATTCTGAGGCAAACTCTAGTGAGAGAGAGGGGTACGGGGTAGCGGTGGAGCCCTGACGATAGGCAAGAGGGTCCCGGGTTACGTCTTCAGCACCACAGGATCAAAAGCCAGTCAAAGGGGCGTCCCAGCCAAGCCCGCAGAGCATGCCTGTAACCTCGCCGTGCAGGGGCCTCAAACAGGGTGACAAATTCAGGGTCAGCATGGGGTGCACAGTGAGTTAAAGCTACTCCACACAACTAAAGAGAGCCTCAAAATAAACAGTCAAGTGGGGGCCATAAGTGTAGTTCTAGGGAGAGTTTGCCTAGCATGTAGGAGTTTGATTCCCAGTTCTGCAAAAAAAGGAGGAGTGTACACTAATCCCCCATAGCTGATAGAGGTTTTACTAGCACATACTGCCAGAATGAACAACTGAACCAAGCAAGAGTCATCACTAAAGACAGAGAAGGAAAAAAAGTATATTTTTTAAAGGAAAAAAAAAGTGTTGATTTTATGAATGTGGGCATTTAGTCCGTATATCTGTACATTGCATGTGTGCTGTGCCCATGGAGGCCGGAAGAGGGCATCGGATCGCCTGAAGCTAGAGCGATAGACAGTCGTGAGCCCCCGTGTGGTCCTCTGTAAGTGCAGCCGCTGCTCTAACATGCTGAGCCATTTCTCCAGCAGCTGAGTTTTAAGCTACAGTCTCAAACCAAATATCAGGGGAAAAGGACATAAAATAAAACCAAGCCTGACACAGGCTCCACACCAGTCCCTGTACCCTGGCTGTCACCAAACTATGTCACCTCATAGGAGAGCAGTTACCTCCGTCTTCGTTCGTCCAGTAGAGGAACAGATTCATCGTGCCCACTTCAGTGATCTGGTCGTCCTTGCCGTACAGCCAGAGGACCTGCTGACAGCCGTTCTCCACCGCCTCGCACTGTGCCAAAAGGGACGCGCCGTAATTGCTAGCCAGGAAAAGAAAAAACAGCTGGTGACAAACGTGTGTCACCTCAGGCCTGCATTCCACTCTAATGGTCCCTTCCTCGGCTCGCTGGCATTTATGATGAAAGACAACCGGAACGCTGAAATTCCAGTAACTCAAACATACACCCTCCACATGTGACTCTATTTGCCTGTGTGGGCACTCACGTGTGTATGTGTGTGTGCGTGCGTGTGCGTGTGTGCGTGCGTGCGTGCGTGCGTGTGTGTGTGTGTGTGTGTGTGTGTGTGTGTGTGTGTGTGTGTGTGTGATGTGCAGGTGCCTAGAAAGACCAGAAGAAAGCATCAGATCCCAGGGAGCTGACATCACGAGTTGCTGCGAGCCTCCTGACATACAGAGAGAACCTAACTCCGGTTCTCTAGAGGAACAGCAAGCACTCTTAATTGCTGAGCCGTCTCTCCAGCCCCCATTTCCTCTTTTAAAGGAAGGCTGTGATTCTACGTCCCTCATTCCTCTGTAGCAAGTACTATTCAAGAAAGATGCAACAGTGTTACACACACACAGACTGGAGGGATAGACCCAGTGCACCAAGTCTACAGAGCCTCTGGCCATGCCGGAGGAGCTGTGAGTAACAATTGTAGAAGGGAATCCTCTGAGGGCCCAACCTGGGTTAGGCAAGGCCACGGTACTGCAGACCCTGAACTGTCTTTTGTCTCTCCCAGGCCGTTACATGTTTGCTGCAGCTCTCTTTCCCTGGTATCTGGCATCTATGAGTGGATGTGGGGAGATCTCCACGGCCTGTAACATAGTGTGCTTATCTACTGGGCATTTTCACCTGTGGACTGTCAAGAAGTTGGCCCCTCCCTAAAGCTACTGTCTAATTTGGTAATAACAATGATAGCCTATACAGAGTTTTGACGGATGAAAATACGAGGCTGTGTTTCACAACTAAGGCCTATGAGTACCATCTTAAAGGCTATGTTTCACAACTAAGGCCTATGAGTACCATCTTAGGAGCCACTCAGGCTAATGATGAAAGGGAAGCACCTGAGTCCAGGAGCCGGGCTGGCTCTGATTCTCTTAATGCTGAAGAGAGGCAGTCAGGTACCATTAGCAAAAGCAAAGCTTCAAAATAACTTCGGGTTAGACCAGGCGCCTTGCTAATAGCTTAAGATAAACAACATCAGAGAACAAGCCGAAGTTCACACTGACACCTAGCTGAGCTGTCTGACTCATTAGGCTAGAGTAGAAAATACAAAATGGCCTGACTGCTGCTAGCTCCCCTTGCTAGGTCTGGTTCATGGCCAAAGGTGACGATTAATTCCTTATACCCTGATATATAAAAAAAAAGCTATCGGTAAGTAGTTATGTACCCTAACGATTTAAAGAAGAGCTGACTAATTGTTTTTCATATATAAAAGTTTAGGTTTGTGATTCCTTTTAGGTGCCTGATAAGATTAGCTTTCAAGATAAGTAAAAGTAATTGGCCCTTTCTTTGTAACTGCAAAATGCAGCCTGCCCGTAAAAGACAAGAATAGCTTGCCTGCCCACACAATTAATCTATAACAAATTGCTTGGGCATGAATTATGTGGTTTCTTGGAATAACTTGTTTTTCACCTGTAGTACTTGAAATGTTTGATCATGTAAGGGATATGGGAAACATGCTATTTTTTTTTTTTTACTATTTGTTTTGTATTCATTGTAATCATTCACTTGAAAAACAGAACATAACCACATTGTAACTCCTATGCTGCCTCAAAAACTTTGTCGGGGCATGTAAGCTGTAGAGAAAAGGTATACAGCAGAAAGAAAAGAACAGAGGAAGAGCATAGGAAGAATATAAGAGAACAGAGAATAAAGAAGAAAGCCATCAAGAGAGTGTGAGAGCTCCTTTTCCCATAAACCCCTCAGATATAAAAGTCCCACTTACGCCAACTCTGTTGGATTCCTTTCAAAGCCCTGTGCTGCTGGACACTGGCCCCCAGACACCGGTGCTATAGCTGTTGTGGAACAGAATGTTTGTCTAACAAAGCAAAGACGTGTTGCATTGGTTTCACCTTGCCTGCCTAAGGCATCAGATGGGTCTCATGAAAAGCCGGACGGCCAATAGCCAGGCTGTAGAGGGATAGGCAGGGCTGGCAGGCAAAGAGAATAAGTAGGAGGAGGAATCTGGGCATGAGAGAGAATCAGGGAGAAAGCGAGGGAGATGCCCGGGACCAGCCAGCCAGGCCGCAGAAAGACAGACAGACAGACAGCCACAGAGGAAGCAGGAAAAGCAGGACATATGGAAGAAAAGAAAGGTTAAAAAGCCCCGAGGCAAACCACAGATGAAGAGAAGCCAGATAAATTAAGTTAAAAGAGCTACCTAGAAACGAGCATAAGCTATGGTCCAGTATTCATAACTCATAAAAGACCCATGGCATGATTTGGGAGCTGGTGGTCCAAAAAAGCTGGCTACATACAGTTTCCTAGAGAAGGCCACCTTCTAGAAAAGCTCTGAGGAGGGAAAGGTCGTCACTGTGAGCGGAGAACACCTGAGGCTTGGGGGACACCTTTCATTCCCAGCTCCCATCATCTTCCATGTCAGAGGCCTGTGACTGGGCTCTGACATCCCTAAACCTCCCAGGACATCATCGAAAGTCACTTCCCAGGAGTGTCTCTGCCCTGGCTGTGACACGCATGTCACAGTTGATTCGGACCTGGGAAGAGCCTAGCTTTTCTCCTTCTCCTCTACACAGAGGGGCATTCTGAACTCAGGGCCAAGTTCACCCTGAGGCAGCCCATCCCAAATGCTCTTTCATTGCTTGCCAGCTAGACATGGTCTACGAGAACGGCCAGGCATCACCAAAGCGCGGCTGTCCCGCCCCCCCCCCCCCCGCCCTCCCCCCTCAGGCAGGCATGCCCGCCACCCAAGGCTGCTGAGAGCATCAGTCCCAGGACCAGCCTATAAATGGGGAGAAGCAGAGCTCAGGGACACTGTTCAAAGCACTGTCCCATGTGGTCACCGTCACTGCGGCCACGGTGGGGGGAGGGGGTACCAGTAACACCAACAATGGGCACATTTACAAAGCCAGATCTGAAACCACAAACAGCCACTCACCTTGGCACACTGCTCTGTGTGCGCACACACACCACTGAAGGCACACGGCCATCAGATCTAAGTCAGGACGGACACCCAGACCGACTTACCCACCCATCTTGCAGTCCCCGGTCCCACCTTCCCAGGCTCTGACATATTTCGGATTGGCCCACAGTGACACTGGCTTAAAGGTTCCACTGGAAAAGTAAGGCCCCACGGGGCTCAGGACCACAAACAGCAGGGCTTTGGAAGGCTTCTTGACTCCAAGGGATGGCTATAATAGAGAGAAAAGACGTGCCTCTGTCACTGACGTCACAGTCCTCGTAAAGTCTACAAGAGACCTGCATCCTCCTTCCAGAAAGGGTACCCAACCGAAGCCTAGCCACCCAAGTTCTTTTAAAGAAAACACGGGCAGTGGGTATTTTCAGTTTGGGGGCGGGAAGGGCAGGGCAGGACAAGATGGCCCAATGGGTAAGGGTGCTGGCTGCCAAGCCTGAAACAGACTTGAATCGGGTCCCTGGAAAAGAGAAGCGACCTCTATGGGCTGTCCACCCCCCCCACCCCCACCTCCACAAGCGTGCTATGGCATGTGTGTTCCCCCACCCCCACCCTGCACACACATAAAATAAGCAATGGTTGTAATTTTAAAATGTTTGGTTTGCCTTCTGAGTTAATGATTTTAGAGAGAAAAAACAAAAACAAAAACACGTGTGTCATTTGCAGTTGCTGCCATTGCTGACAGCATGAATGTCCTTGACCCCTTCTCCCAACCCGCTAGGCGCTGCAGAGCATGTGAGGACAGCAAGCGGACAGCAGACATGGGGAAGGAGGCTGCGGCCACGCCTGCCTATAAGGCAGGTAAAAGGCGGCTTGGGGAGCTGCTTTTCTGGAGACAGAGACAACAGACGGGAGACGTAACGTCAAAAGGGCAGGAGAGAACGACCCAGACCTCGCATCATGAACGGGGAGCTGGGGAGGTGGTGCGGCAGATAACAGCCCTGGCTGCTCTTGAAGGGGACCCAGGTCAGTTCCCAGCACCCACACGGAGGCTCACAGCTGGTCATAACTCCACTGCCATCTTCTGGCCTCCACAGGTACTGCACACACAGCATACATACAAACACAGGCAGCAGGCTTATGGGCCAGCTAGCCTGGAACACGCAACGTGGCAGATGGATTCCCCCCTCAACAAGGCAAAATGAGAGAACTACTTCAGAAAGCTGACCTCTAGCCTGCACACCTGTACCACTGTGCCACACACACACACACACACACACACACACACAATGCTTGTGTAGGTAACAATGTCACCTAAAAGCCCCCACCTCCCTCCATCAGGAAGATAAGCAAGGCTCTGAGACCCTAGAACAAACTGAACTGTGACTGAGGCGGAGACTGGTCGGGGGACAGAAAGAGCTTTGCCTTTGGGCTGATTTGGGTTTGGGTTTTTTTTTTTTTTTTTTTTTTTTGCTGTTGTTTTGTTTTGTTTTGGGGGGTTAAGAGGGAAGTCTCTCTACATAGCCCTGGCTATCCTGGAACTCACTATATAAACAAGGCTGTCCTTGAACTCACAAAGATCCGCTACCCCTGCCTCCTAAGCACTGGGATTAAAGGTGTGTGTGTCACCATATCAGGCTAGTGTTTGCCTGTAAAGAGCTTGGAAACTCCACTACCCTCTCATCTGGGAGGGAGATCGTGCACGAACACACACTGTTGCTTCCCAACGCTGAGAAACCCATCCTATCTCTGAGACTAAGTAGGCAAGGAGTCAGATGGGAGATAACCAAGGAAACGGCCACAGCATCTTGGCTGTATCTGTGGTCAGAGCGTGCCTGGTGGTTAGGTGGGCTTGAAGCTGAAGTTGGGATCTTTCTACTGTACCAGAAACGAAGGACCAGGGAGGACACAGTTGCCGCACAACCACAGTGGGCCCTGGCTTCATTGTGATACTCTCCTCTTCCCTGCGGGCTTTTCTAGAAACTGGTAGGAAGACCCTAAAAACAGAAAACCCACCCACCATAATCCAGAAGGAAAAGGGGTCACCTTACCCAACACACACTGCTGCTCACCTTATAAATACCAGTAAAAACCCAGTACAACTAGCCGGGAAGAGGAAGCCGGGTATTGAGAGACGGATGAGAAGGTAATGTGTAAGTGTAAGTAAAAATGTAGCAACCCATTAGGTGTAACTAACATACACCGATGTAAAGTAAAATTTCAAAACCCACAATCCCAAAGCCACTGGGTGGCTCCTCCCTCTCCTCCCGGTAACTAAGGGGTCAGCCCGCTCCAGTCCAGGTTCTCCGCTCCCGGTGCTCCAGGGAACACATGCCCTTCCCGCTCCAGGTGCTCCAGGGAACACATGCCCTTCTCGCTCCAGGTGCTCCAGGGAACACATGCCCTTCCCGCTCCAGGTGCTCCAGGGAACACATGCCCTTCTCGCTCCAGGTGCTCCAGGGAACACATGCCCTTCCCGCTCCAGGTGCTCCAGGGAACACATGCCCTTCCCGCTCCAGGTGCTCCAGGGAACACACGCTCTGCGCGCTCCGTGTTCTCCAGGGAACACACGCCCTGCCCACTCCGGGTTCTCCGTGGAACGCAAACTCACGCCCTGCTTTGCCCGGTGAGCTTTGTCCCTGAATTCTTCCCTCAGAGGGTAAGAACCAGGAGGAACTTTCACCCAGTGCAGCCCTTGCTTCCTGAAGCCTGGCGCTCTCATACTTCACAGCCTCACCGACTTTCTTACTTTAGTGGTTGAATCTAACTTCCTGCATGCCTCCCCCGCCATTAAGGACTCTCTCCTTCTGGAATCCCAAATAAACCCTTCCTTCTGTCAGCCGCCCTGCTCACTGTATTTTATCATGACAGAAAAGTAGCCAATACAAACAATAAGGAACCCAGAGAGGCCACACGAGTAAATTGCAGATACAATACGCTAACTGCTACCCAAAGGCCGCATCTAGCGTCTAAATTCCAAATGAACTGTCTTTCTGACGTACAACCTAAAAGCACTTTGTCACCTACCACGTGAATTCTGGGACACCTCCCTGTGTTTACACGGGCCAATGCAATTTGCATTATACTAAAAAAAAAAAAAAGTAAGTCACCCAATACGTAATATTTTTTTTCTGTACTGAATTTTACCTCGTTCCTGTTGAGGAGGTAAGGCAGGTCTGTGGTGGAGCACACAAAGCTATCTAGATTTCAACTGCAGTACCAAAGGAAAAGTGAATTTCCTTTTGTCAGTGTGATTTGTTTGCATTTCTTCCACCAGGTGGAGGCAGAGAGCACAGACAGAAGGAGAATGGCAGGATTTTAGTACCTCCATCAAATCTGCCTCTAGAAAAAGCATCTGGATGAATCATTCCATCCACATCTGTCTCCTTAGCAACAGCTAAGTTATACGGTAGCATTTTCCATCAAAGCTGTGTGTAAGGATGTAATACGGTAGCATTTTCCATCGCTGTGTGTAAGGATGTAACTTTGTATCATCTAAAACTTAAGCCAGCTCTGCTCATGTCTGCAAGTTCCTCTGTGGACCACAGCTTCATTCACGCAGAACGCCTTGGGGGAGAGGGGGGATGGCTCAGCGATTAAGAGCACTTGCTGCTCTTGCAGAGGACACAGGTTCGGTTCCCAGCACCCATGAGGAGGCTCCCAACCAGCTGTAATTCCAATTCTAGGAGATCCAATGCCCTCTCCTGGCTTCATATGGGCACAGTACCCACGAACACAGATACACACAAAATGCTCATTGACATAAAATAAAAGCAACTAAATCTTCCAAGAACCCACTGGCTCTCCTGGAGGAGCAGGTAGGGAGGAAGTCTCAATGCCATTTCAGTACTGAGCATGAGTCAAATGTCATTCCAGGCTCTGCTAAGAAGCTTGGCGACAGGCACTCCCCCCTCAGTATCCCTGACTGAGGCTTCTCACTTCCACCCTGAGAAGCAACTGAGACCCTGTGCCCCTGCTAGGCGAGCTTTATTGTGTGCTGTCAATAATCGGAGAGCAGTCAACAGCACCCTGGGATGATGAAGTTATGTTTCTGATTGACTAAAGCAAAAGTCACACAATACAGGGGAAATGAGGATGTCAGCAGCTGATGGGGGGGGCTACAAGCAACAGTGTTTTGTTTTGGCTTTGGGGGACAGGGCGTCACTGTGCTGCCCAGGGCTGGCCTCAAACTCAGAGCAATCCTCCTGCTTCAGCCTCCCAAGGACTGTGATTACAGGTACACACCACCACACTAGCTCCTTCTTGGGGTGGGGCGTTTCTGGAGAGATGTCGGGAGTTTAACATAAACACTAGGTAAGTGGGGGGGGCAGTACCACTGAGCTCCACCGCTGCTCAGGAGCAGCTAAATTCTGTATCCTCGGGTAATCTGAACAGATAAAGATGGAAAAGGCTGTAGCATATTGGATACAAAATGTGGCTTCAAGAGACCACACAGTGTTTTTATGTATTTATGTGTGTATCTGTACACACCAGGAGACAGAGACAGGGAGAGATCTCTCACTTCCTGAACCGAGCTTCTCGACACTCAAACTCCTTTGTACTCTGGACTTAGGTGTGACCAGAAACAAAGCCTACTTCAGTGAGAATTATGGCTCCTTTCTGGGTGACCCAGAATCCCTTCACAGAAAGATGTCATGAGTCATTTGAGGGATAGCAGAAAAGAATCAGTGAGCTGAGAAATTCCATTAGAAACAGTGTGGCCTCAGAGGCAGAGAGCAAATCGGGCGGGCTGAGCTGTAGGACGGACAGTTCTAACCAGCAAGGCAAACAGAGGCTAAGACTAAGGCAGCTGGGACCAGAAGGGGCTGGTGCCTATCAACAAGACCACTGCTTTCTCTTCCAATCAAAGACTTCTTCTTTAAAAGGTTTCGGAGGTAGAGAAGAAATGGAGCCAGGTGCCACAGCCCATTCTGTCATCTCAGCACTTAGGAGGCTGAAACAGGAGGATCAAGAGGCCAGTTCAGCTTTGTAAGAGTTTGGGGCTACACAGACCTTTTGTAAAAAAGAACTTAGGGCTGGAGAGAGGCTCCAGGGAGTAAGAGGGCTCTCTGCTCTTCCAGGGCTGAGTTCAGTTCCCAGCACCCAAGTCAGACACACACACACACAGATACACACACACACACACACAGACAGACAGACACACACGTACACACACGTACACACACACACACACACACACACGGTGGGGATACGGTCCCCATGCTCGACACTCAGTGTTGAAGCTGTGAGAATGAGTACTTAGGAGAAAACAGATTGTGATATTAGGAAATGAGACGCACTTGCTGGTAAATTTAAAATTCAGTCCCAAGCAGAAATGTCTGCATGGTCAAGTACACAGGGACTCCGGGACATAGTCAAGAGGAGGAGAGCACAACATGTCACCCACAGAAAATGTCATTCACTCCCTGCCACAGCCGTCAGCCTGCTCCTTCCTTTCCAGTGAGATGGGATGTGTTTGCTCATTTTCCTCTGGCAGGGCAGAGCTTAGTGGCTGAGTGACCTGCAAAAACAAAGGTGTTTTCTGTCTGCTCTGAGCTAGCGGGCAGCACGGCACCAGGGGGCTCACAGGGCTAGGAGTCTCCTCAGGCAGGGTCTCCTCACAGCTCTGACACTGCCCTCGCTCACACTAGCTCCACCACTGTGCTGCAGGAAGAAAAGAAAGCAAACCTGGAGCCAGATGTGCCAGATGTGATGCACGCTTGCAATCTCACTCAGGAGAAAGAGGCACGCGTTTTACCACACGTTTGAGGTTGGTCAGAGAGAGAGGGTGACACCTTGACCCTCAAAATAAAAGGTCAAGCACTTGGACTCAAGCCTGCACTCAGCTCTGAGGAAGCTGACCCAATAAGATCATGGTGATTTTGAGGCCAACGTGGTGGGTCTTAGTAAATTCTATGCTACAGGAATACATGAGACCTTGCCTCAAGGTAAATATAATGAAGAACAAATAAGGTATCATCGTGTAACAGTTTCCTCCAAGATGGAAACATTCTATCCTACAAGGAAGCTCCTCCTTTAGCAATAAATAACTCAGAACAGCTCAGGAAGTCCCTGAAACTAACTAGATTCACTAGGCTCGTGCCTGCCAGAGTAACCAATAAAAGCTGGCATGGCATTTGGTAATATAGCTAGCTGTCTTTGAGTCATTTCTAATCTGGTAAGTAACCCTCACCCACATACTTGTAAAAAATGACAATAAAACTCACTAGCTCACCAAATTGTAATTTGGTGGTCTCTGTACTTCAGTCTATAACGGGTTCCCCTCTGGGCTAAGTAGACTTTTCCCTGGGCAAAGGACTACTTCTATAGTTAAGAATCTTCAAAGAGGCCAATAACCAGAGCTGACTGTGAGTGTGTGTGTGTGTGTGTGTGTGTGTGTGTGTGTGTGTGTGTGTGTGTGTGAGAGAGAGAGAGAGAGAGAGAGAGAGAGAGAGAGAGAGAGAGAGAGAGAGAGTATATGTTCTTAAGAAACGTAGAGAGGGAGGAGTCATAAGCAAAGCAGTCAAGACCAGGCTGGGGATACCCACAGAAACAGCTGGCCTGACCAAGTGGGAGCTCATGGACCCCAGACCAATAATCTGGGAAACCAACATAGGACTGAACCAGGACCCCCAAGCTTGGGTGACAGTTAGGAGGCTAGGCAATGTATGGGGCTTCTTGTATTTATCCCTAGTGCACAATGGAAGCCCATTCCCCATGGAGGGATACTCTCTCAGCATAAATACACAGGGGAGGGCCTAGGCCCTGCCCCAATGATGTGACAGACATTGATGATTCACCATGGAAGGTTTCACTCTCTGTGGGAAGTGGGATGGGGTGGGGGGGTGAGAGGTGGACCAGAAAATAGATAGATAGATAGATACATAGATACATAGATAGATAGAATAGACAGACAGACAAATAGAAACACACCCTGATCAGATCCAAAGAAACACACTTTGGCCCTACAACCAGAACCAAAGAAGTGTACCCTGACCCTGAAAGCAGTGCCAAAGAAACACACTTTGTCCCTGGAATCAGAGTCAGTGAAAGAAATGTACCCTGGCCCTAAAATTGGAGCCAAAAGGCTAAAAAGGACCAGAGAAAGAAACACACTTTGGCCCTGAAAACCAAAGCCAAATCTGACCTTAATCCTGTGCAGAAAAGTAACCAATCCTCGAGCAGAGCTCTAGCCAATCTGGGCCTAGCACTGAAATCGGACCAATCCCCACCCTGGAAAAACTTCCCCGCCCCCAAGAAGCCCTATTAAACCCTGTGTATGTTCCGCCTGTTTCTGCTTGCACTACGCAGCTGTCCTCTGCCAGAGTGGATTTTTCCCTCCCAATAAACCCCTTCAGTGAGCTTTGGGTGAAGATCTTTTGCGGCGGCGACAGAGCAGAGAGGACCCTGGGCAGAGCAGAACAGAGCAAAGCAAAGCGAGCAGGGCTGTAACATTTGTCGGGGAAACCTTCCTCAGCAGAGCGGAACTCTGCTCCCTGCTCGCGGCTCTCCGCTCTCCAGGAACAGAGCTGAACTGTAGCAACTTTGCCCTAGAAACCTCCTGCCTAGCAAAACTGCTACACTAGGCGAACATCCCCAGCTGGAAGACCCTGGCCTGCTGGAGCGGAGCTGATACACCAGAGAAGCCTTTCTCTGAGGCAAGGCTGTAAGCTGCTAAGCTTACTGCAACCTGTGGTGATCCTTGGCTCCCGAGCTCCAGGAAACCTTTCCACCTGAGCTGTGTAACACTGAGTATCCTGTGGCTCCCAAGTGCAAGAATACCTGACCCACTCCTGTTTCATCCTGTCCCGACCCATCCCGAAACGCTTACACTGGTGAGATAGCTCAGTGGGTAAGGCCGCCTGCCGACAAGCCTGGCCTATCCAACAGCCCTGTTTGTTGTTCAAACCATCCCTCCCTACCAGCTCCCGAAGGCTCCTCATGGATTATATTTTTGGCAGGTGTTCTTTGTACTGAAGCCCTCTCTGCCTGTTCTTTACCAAGAGATACTAAGGATTCTGGATAATGGAAATAAATCCAAGCACTCCCCCTTGCCAAAACTTCTAGAGCATGGTTACACCGACCTCCAAAGGTTGGCCACACAGAGAGGCACATAGCCGCAAGCTCGGAACTAGTACTCAGTCTTCATCGAGGGAGGGCAAGCATGGCCACGCCTTTTCCTCAGTTAATCCTGAGTCAACTGCCTACTGTTACCAATTGGATGGCGACAAACTGTCTATCAACTATCATCCCCCCCCCAACCAAAAGTATCTGCAGTCTCATGTTTCACAGGAGAGATGGCCTTGACAATTAGGAGGATGAAGGGAACCAGGAATGACACGGGGGGGGGGGATTGTCAATCAAACCACGTACTAAAAGCATCAAGGAAGAAGAAGGCTCAGTTAAATATGCAAGGCCCCGGCTACAGTCTCCAGCAGTGTGAAATGACATCTGGGGACACACAGACGCCTCAGTGAGGAGGAAGGTACTTGCTGCCAAGCCTAAGAGCCCACAGTACAGCCCCAGAACCCACGCAGTAGAAGAGAAGGACCTGAAGGAGCTCCGGCAGCCCAAGTGTGCAAACACGGCTCTGGCAGGCCTCACCCTTCTCTCCCGCATTCCCTCTGCCTTGCTAACATTCCTAAAGTCAGCCACCGAGGTCTACTCCCTTACTTGGCCACTTCCTCCTCCTCCTAGGGCTGACAACCAAGGTCCAGTTATCCAAGTATTGAAGCCCTGCAAACGAAAGCCCCCTCTTGGCTCACCAAATTAGCACACCCAACTAAAACATCTCATCCTAACACAAGGCTTCCTCTTTTACCTTATAAACTGTCATTTGCCTATGGGCCATCTCTCTTATCCAGAGCAGTCCTTTGTGTCTCCATACCACCCCGGGGACAGATGTCCCTCTTCCCTTCTCCCTCATCCGCTACCTCCTGTCTTTGTCTCTTTCTCCCTGCCCCTTTTCCTTCTGGGGCAAATAAATCTCCTTTGTGCTGAGAACTTGGTCTCGGGTGTCTTGTGCTCACAAGGGTCCCTTCAGAACCGGCTCCCAAGATGTTCCCTGACCTCCACACACACTGTGGCACACACATGCTCTCTCGTGTGCATACACAAACTAAATACACGATTTTTAAAAGGCTTTTTAAATCGCAAAGCCCTTCCCCCAAACAGAGCCAAGTTTACCTCAGTTCCAATAAACGTGGGGCGGATGTACAGACTGGCAGAGGTGGAGTAGGGAACCCACTCTTGGTCTATCTGTATAAGCTGCCGAATGCATTCTAGAAGCTCCTCCTGGTCAAACATCTGAAAAGACAGAGTTCCCAGTGAATGCTGATGAACAACACAAATGTGCATTTCCAAGTGGAGAACTGACAGGAACTCAGTTTCCAAGGCTGTTCCCATATTACAGTCCTTGCAGACCAGGCTGGCCAAGAACTCACAGAGATCCGCCTGCCTTTGCCTCCCGGGTGCTGGGACTAAAGACAGTGTGCCACCACCACCCTGTATTATAGTCTTTGAACAGGCAACTTATCCATTCTCCCCCAACATGAAACACCATGAATAGTATCTGTTAATAAACGCAAAAAAAAAAAAATTCTGTGACTCAGCAAAATAAAAAATTATGTAAGTATGAGTTATTCATAAGGAAAAGATAAAAGTTAGGTCCCCCAAGGCTTCAAGATGGCTCAGCACGTAAAGGCATGTGTCATCAGTGAAATTTCTGATAGAGAAATTAGAACCCTATTTACCACTCCCCCACACCAGTTATGATTAGGTTCTATACTCAAATGTAACAAATTATGATTTTTATTTTAAAATGGATATCTTGTGGTCTCTTATCAAACCCCTAAATCAATTATAACTGGATTTTTAAGTCAAAGCTAACAAAATACTATGACTTCTATTTAAAAATTGGCACCAGTGACCTCTTACAGTCTCAATTATAACTGGATATTATGAAGGAGTGTAACAAAACATCATGAATTCTGTTTTTAAAATAGACGATATCTTCAACTTCAAGGTTCAGAACAACTTATTACCCAGGAAGCACAAAACACAAACCGTGAAGGAAAATAAAAGATACAATTTGCCTGTTTGGAACTTAAGGACTCCTGGTTTTTCAAGACCGGAAGCTTCTGGTGAGACACCAGCGAGGAATGGCACCGGTGCGTGCTACAGCATCCTCAGGGGACATCTCCCTGTCCCACAGGTGACAGACGGGCTTTGTAAAATGGCCAAGCAGCTTCCTCGAAGAGAGAGACACTTTCAGAGACAGGATGACTCGCATGAGGAGGAACAGCGCCTCACACTGGCTGAAGGGTGGCCTTTACCTGTGGTGGTAGGTACAAGGATGCCAGATCCTAGGGTGACCAGCTATACTGCTACCCCATGGGTGCAGCTGTCCAGAGATGAAGTTTAATCAACTCCATGAATGCTTGGGCTGGGAAATCGAAGAAATCTCAGCCCACTTTCTTGCCCTCCGGGGTGACCTTCAATAAGTGGTTTACTCTCCCCAGGGTGCTTTTAATTTTCTACTCTATGCAAAGGCACTAAAATTTACAATAAATGCCTTCAGATGGTTGAGCAGGTTAAGGCACTTGACAGCAACCCATGTGGTCAAGAGAACCAGGCCTGGCAAGGTGTCCTCTGACCTTTAACAGAAGGGCATTGCACAGGTAAAGTCAGCGTTCACACACAGGATTTGTTGAGAACCTGATGCAATTATTCAGGAAAGGTTTTTGTTTTGCCCTGAGGATGAAAGACCGGGATAGCACGTGAATCTGAAGGGTACACAAACCCACATACCGGCAGAGTGGTCCTCACAGCAGACCGGCACATCCTGCTCATGTTGAGGTCAGGCCGAAACAATCGGATCTTATTATCAACTCCTCGAAAAGCCTTCAAGCCTTCAAACAGCTGAGGAGAAGAGAAAAGTCAGAAGGCAGCTGGAGACAATCTTAGTGGTGAAGTTGCCGCCCTTGGCCTCAACTTCAGACGTGTCAATTGACAAAACATACAAAGTAACTGGAATGGAGGGGGCGGGGTGGAGAAAGGGAGGCGAGGGGTCCTTACGGCACTTGACCTGACTGACAGGTGATCAGGAAGGGAAGATTCAAAATATACTGATACCACCTCCACCCACTCGTGGCCAGGAGCTGAGTATGCACCTTTGGCAGGTTGAGAAAGGGAAGGGATGGGGGGGGGGAGAATGAGAAGACGGAGGGGGGACACAAAACCAACTGTTCATGAAAGATTGCTCTGCCCATCTTACCACCCGATGGGGATTTAAATCACACACACACACACACACACACACACACACACACACACACACACACACACACACACGCCAAGATTTCGTCCTGACATGCCAAGCTCCGCAGAGGACTGAATGGCTGAAGAAGAGGCACTCCCACAGCAGGGTGACCACGCCTCCCACTGCCGTCCAGGCTCACAGTAGGACAACCTGGAAGTCCCATCTCATCAGAAGGAAATGAAGAGAGAAGTCCAGGGGCTTGTTCAGGTTAATCCGGAACACTGAGACACCCTCGGAGGAGACCTCACCCTTAAAAATATCTTTATCCGTTTATCAATCTGTAATGTTCAGTGGTTTGGAAAACGTGTGATCGCCAGAGCTAGGAGAGTCAGCCTGCTAAGAGCTCAAAGTGGTCAAAGTGACAGAAAAATCCTAGTTAATTTCTTTCTTTCCCCTCCTTTTTTCAATTTATTTTAATGTACATGAGTGTTTTCCCACATGTATGTGTGCACAGTGTGCATACCTAGTGTGCTCACAGAGATACACAGAAACAAACATGACGACCGGAGTTCAAGTCCCAGAATCCACATAAATCAAAGCCACGCACAGTAGTTAAGGCTTGTAATGGCAACTCGAGGGACAGACAGATCCCCAGGGTTTGCAGGATGGCCAGCCAAACCTACTTGCTCCCAAGTCAGTAAGTCCCTGCAATAGAGAGCAAGATGGATACTGCCTAACGAGTGACAGGCTCTCTCTCTCTCTCTGTCTCTCTCTCTGTCTCTCTCTCTCTGTGTGTGTGTGAGAGAGAGAGAGAGACAGAGAGACAGAGACAGAGAGAGACAGAGGAGGGAGAGAGAGGGGCAATTGAAGTTCTCCGAAAAGGGACAATTAGACTAAAGATCCCTCAGAATGAAGGGACCAGACCCTCACCCAGCCCCCTGCTTTAGCAGCCATGACAGGCTGCAGAAAAGACCCAGTAAGACAAAGGCCCCTGACTCAGCACAGGTGCTTAGTTTCCAGCCTTCTGGCCTTGCAGGAGCTGCCCTAGGTCAGATACCCATGTGGCAAGGAACCAATCAGAAGTCAGTGGGCGGGCTCTGGACGTACTTTATGGTGTAACAGCGCCATGAAGAGCATAGCAACCGTCCTGGGAGGGCCTATAGGCCATAACAACCAGCTAACCAATCAACACAGGACAGGTCATCCAAGCCCGGAAGTTCACCAATCCTGAGACTGTTGCATACCCTTAGACACTGCCCAAGCTTGCTCCTCCCTACAAATTCCCCACCTCGCACACCCTTGGGGTCCTTCTCACACCAGGTGCCTTGTTAGATAGGATGAAGGGCCCGAGTTAATGCAGTTAGCTCATTAAAAGACTCTTTGCTTTTGCATCAGAATGGTTCTCTTGGTGATTTGGGGGGTTCAGAATTTGCACACAACAAGAACAATTCCATAACTGTGGAGGGTTGGAATGTTGCAGATCTAGAGCCCAAATCATCCTGAGTTATCTTTAATCTTACCCGCCTGTGCTTCTAACTTCACATTCTTCTTACTCTCAAGTAGATCAACAACCAGAAGCTAGAGAACACTGTCAGACAGCAGGACTTACTGCTTGACTTAACCTCTCCCTGATGTCACAATCAGTACACTTCATAAATGCACTGACTAATGTCCCCAGCAGTACAGTCCTTAAGTGTGATTGATGACTTGTTCTGTGACTATAAAAGGTTTATGTGACCACGTGCCCAGGCCATGGCCACTGTTTGACTCAGAATAACCCACCTCTTGCCGCCTTTGGACCACAGCTGGGTTTCATACATCACACACCTACCTCCATGCACAAGAACATTCCCAGGAGAGAAAAGACTCACCAGGAAGCCGGGACAAGGACATATAATGGAAAACCACTGCTTCGGGGACTTGTAAATGAACCCCTGCCACCCTCAGATCCTAGCAGCCACACCCCACAGCTATGGCCTTCCTGGGCAGGTAGGCACAAGCTTCCTTTCTAGATCGAATTCCAAGTATGTGAGTTCCCATCACTCCCTGCCCAAGCGGCCCTGAGCCACTGTCTGCTTCAGTGAGCTCCCCACCTCGAATCCATCAAGGCTGGTCAGGGTCACCTGCACACAGGTCACAGCGTGGGTGTTCACACAAGAGTGGGTGCTCCAACCCGGTCACAGAGTGTGGTGCTCCAACCCAGTCAGAGTGTGGTGCTCCAACCCAGTCCCAGAGTGTGGTGCTCCAACCCAGTCAGAGTGTGGTGCTCCAACCCAGTCAGAGTGTGGTGCTCCAACCCAGTCAGAGTGTGGTGCTCCAACCCAGAGCTCCCCGTGCTGGAGCAACAGCCCACACACTGAGCTGCATCCCCTGCCCAATCTAGCTCTTTTTGTTTTCTCTTATTGAAAACAGATCTTTCTTTTCTCACGTAACATATCCTGATTTAGTTTCTCCTGCTGCTGCTCCCAGTTCTCCCTCACCTCACCTTCCTCTCTGTCTCTCATCGGAAAAGCAGGCTTCCGAGTGACAGCAAACTATAACAAGGTAAGACAGACGACGATGACAGCACACTGGAAACGGACAAAAGCAACGGAAGGAAAAAGCCCCCAAGTGAGGGCGAGAATCAGGCACCGGCTTGCTCGCACACCCCGGAACCATGAAAACACTAAACTGGGAGCCGCAATGTAAGCACAGAGGACCTCACGCAGACCCTGAACACCCGCCCAGTCTCTGTGAGCTCATACAACATTCGCTCACTAAATCGGGATATATTACGTGAGAAAAGAAAGATCTATTTAGTATTTGGTTTTACCCTAAGCCCCTAGGCTATCTAGTCTCAGGTTCTGGGTCACCCAGGCAGTGTTGGGTCCAAGCCAGCGCTTAATGAAGCTGTGTCTGGTAACGTAGCCCAGCTATGAAGCCTCATGAAGGAGATCTGCGCTTTAATTAGGTCATAACAGGGAGAAGGTTGTGGGTTTTACTCTTGGACAGAATAACTGTAATTTGGGGGCTGCTTTTGGGTTTTGCTTATGTTTTTAGGCTAGAGTTAGAACACGGGGCTCTATTCCTCAGGCAGGTGCTTGAACGCTGAGATACATCCCCAGATCTGTTATTTTTAACTGTAATCCCAGCATTTGGGAGGATGAGGCAGGAGGGCAGCTATGCGTTTGAATCCTGCCTACCACCAATAATAATAACATTATGAAAAGGTCAAGCTGGAATTTCAGTTGGTCTACTCCAGAACCAACTCTTTAAATCCCATAACGGCCTTACTTCTTTCTTCGTAATTCACTTCCAGCAGGCCAGCAGTTGCCCAGGCATTTGGGTTACATAGCTTCAAAAACAAATGGAAATCAGAAACCCAGGGGAATTCGGAGTGTTCAGTCTGAGAATCAGGGTCCTAGAGGCCACCATGTTACCAGCAGCCTTCTCTGAAGAGGAATGGTCCCTTCACCCACCATTTGATACAAAGGACTTGGCATAAACAGCATAAGAACTAGGAGTCATCCGGGAAAGAAACTAAGAACCCAAAGCCTGGCGTGGTGGTGTACACCTGTAATCCTAGCACCTGGGACGGGTAGGCACAGTTGAAAGTTCAGGGCCAGCTTCAGCTATACCTTAAGCGGGAAGCCAGCCTAGACTACAGGAGGCCCTATCTTTAGAAAACAAAACCAAAGGTGCTAAGGACTTGTTGTGATCATCTTCTAGAACTGAGGACACCACTGGGTCAGGGATCACGCAGCGTACACGATTGATTGGTAAAGTGCGTGGTGTGCTGTCTGAGCTCACCCTGTAGCTCCCTCTCCAGGCAAGGCTAGCCCCTCCCGCTTCAGACCCAAGTGTGTTTACCCCAAGTGTCCTCCAAACCTGGAGCAGGCCGACGCCCTCGCCCTGCCACAGAGAGAAAAGAAAACAGCAAAGACACTATGTCCTTGTGAAAAGTGAGGCGCTATGTCTGTTTATCCCATGTTTAAAGATGCCTGTGGTAGGAATCTGAAGCCAGAAGTTGGCTCAAGGGCAGACCAGCCTGCTTTCAGCTGGGAACTCTCGCAGATCCCTTTGCTCCCTGGACCGTGTCTCCCATCCAAGCGCTAACCAGCCCCAGCCCCGCTGAGCTCCCCATGACCAGACGAGATCTGGAGCATTCAGGGTGGTCTGACCATAGGCACCCCAGGCCCTTTCGTGGGGTGTTGTGAACACCAGTTTAATGACGTGACTTCTGTTTGTTTTCTCAACAGGGCGAGCCAGGTTGTCTCTCCTGGACTCCTAGACGCTGCGAGCCCCCCAACCTGAAGAGCACGCTCTGCTGTCTGTCTGCTGAGTCTTTGTAGCTGATATTTGCTATTCATTCTTTTTTTTTTTTTTTTTTTGGTTTTTCAAGACAGGGTTTCTCTGTATTGTTTTGGAGGCTGTTCTGGAACTCACTCTGTAGACCAGGCTGGCCTCGAACTCACAGAGATCCGCCTGCCTCTGCCTCCCGAGTGCTGGGATTAAAGGCGTGCGCCACCAACCTTGTGCTTGCTGTACACCTGACTCAATCTAGAGAGAGCGCACAGGCCGCTCTATGGACTGTAGAATAGCTCATCACACGCCGTCTCCCTTGGCATCAGGCACGGATCTACAGCCGTGCTTCTCAACCTGTGGGTGGATGACCCCTCTGGGGGTGAGTGACCTTTCACAGGGGTCACATATCAGATATCCCATGTTGGGCTTAAGAAAGGCTCGGATGCGAGGCCCAGTGTAGGCTCCTGAGCCTGGCTAGAGTTCAGCGACCTGTCTCTAACCTGTAACCTCTGCGTGGAGGTGACTCAGGCAGACCGTTGCAAGGTTGCCCCTTGCCTAGCTACCTGCCTGTTTGGTGGAACACTATTGGCCCTTAAGTCCTCACGTCACCTTACCCTATCCCAAGATTCCCATCCCCTGCCTCAGTCCTATATAAGTCCCTGTGTGTTGGAATAAACCGAGATCCTGCTTCGACTGACTCCCGACTCAGTGTGTATTTTTTCTCCCCATAACTAATGGGGGGAGGATCTGAGTCGTGGACACTCGCTGCCCGCTCAACCCCGGGAAAGAGACTGGCTGGACCGGCCCTTCCCCTGCTCTACCTGTCCTGTCGGGGAGGACCCGACAACCCCATGTATCAGATATTTACATTATGATTAGTTATGGAGTAGCAACAAAATAATCTTGCTTTGTCTTGTTGGGGGGGCATCACCACAACATGAGGAACTGTATTAAAGGGTCACAGCATTAGGAAGGTTGAGGTCGCACAGACGCGCTCTACAGGTAGTCGGGCAGGCTCACCAAGGGAAGGGAGGGCGTTACTGCGGAGCCTGATGGCCTGAGTACAAGCACAGGTGCTCACTTAGAAAAGGACAGCGAGTTGTCCTCTGATATCCACATGTAGACGCGGCACACCCCCCACACACAAAATAACTAAATAATTAAAGGTAATATCAGTATCCATCTTAGACAAAAGGGTTAAATCATAACTGACTGTACCATAAACCTCCAGGAGCACCTGAGATAGAACGCAGCCCCGGCCCTGTCTGCCTCTAGAACCTGAATGTTTTTTTGTTTTAATTGGAAACATTTGCCCTTTTTCTTTAAGATTATTTTATGTGTATGCATGTGTACATGACTGTCCATGTGCGTGTGCTGGCCCAGAGGCATGAAGAGGGTGTGTGACCTCCTTGGAGCTTGAGCTGGGAGCTGCCTGACCTGGGTGCCGAGACCGAAACCAGGTTCTCTCTCTGCGAGAGAAGCCAGGGCTCCTAACCAGGGAGCCGGCTCTCCAGCCCTGAACGCTGGCATACACGCTTCTCGCTTCAGATCATTAAGTGAGTGGATTCCAAGTTAAGGTGGGGATTCTGAACTCTAAACACAAACAATAAAAAAAAAGTACAAGATCTCTAAACAGCAAAGCACTAGAGTTCAATATTCAGAAATCGTTATTTTATCATCGCTATTGATATTTTTTCCTAGGGTTATTTTTCAAGCCCTGGGTAGATCAGTGTTTATCTCTAGTACCTTCAATATTCTGAAATGAAATGTAGGACCAAGGGGATGGGGCAATGTTCTGCAGACCTGGTTAACTACGTATCTGCACAGGACCAGGAAAGGGATTTGCTAAACACTCAAGCCATGAAGGAACTCATCCAATTCCATCCCTTAATGGGCAAACCTGCAGGCAGGTTATAACACAGCAGTTAGCATGGGCATCTCATCCTAAAACCTTTCTCAGTTACTCAGAGATCTGAGAAAAAGAGGGAATTTAAGAAAACAGCAATACTCATGGCTTTGAGGCTCTCCGAGGGGTCATTGTATGACCTGCCTGGGCTGGTCTGGAGTGATGTGCAAAGTCTAGGCTGGCCTTGAACCTTCTGTCCACCACCCGGCTTAGCTCATCGAGTGCTAACAGTCATGGCCACCACACCTGGCTTAGTGTAGGCTCTTGGGCTTCTAATTTTCCTAACTATCCTTTCTATATATCGTTGTAAGTTTATATATGTGTGTGTGTGTGTATACAGATACTTTTTTTAAAACTTGCATCACAGACAAACCAAAACAACTTGCAAAGCTAGTTCTTAGACTTATCCTCGACCCGTTTGGTGCAGAAGAAATTTGAAGACATTTATGGCAGCCTTCAGTAAAGACAGCAGAGCCTCTCCTTGCCGGGAGAAGTTGGTAAGAAGGAGAATCACAGCCTCTCCCCCTCCCTCCCGGCAGCTCCCAAACGCTTACTTCCACGGCATAGTGCAAAACTGAGGCTGCGGGATGTATAGACAAGTTCTCAAAGGGCTTGATGTGAGGTTTCTCCCATCCGGATGCGGAGGACCACTCCACAGTCAGCATGTGATCAGTGAAGGATGCTCCAAACACCAGGGTGTCGGGGTCTGGCTTTTCCTTTAAGACAGTGGCTGGTGTGATGATGAGGTCTTTGGCCTGTAGAGAAAAAAAAATGAACACCGTGAAGGAAAGGAACCAGAACCACACCATACGGGCCAGATGGTCCAAAGGTCCAAAGGTGAATGGCATCCCTTGATGTTTGCGGCTAGCACAGAATTCAACTGGGGCCTGAGGGCCTACTTTACTTGGCGGGATGCTCGCTGAGCACGCGTAAAGTCCTGGGTTTAACGACTGACCTGCACACTGAAAGAGGTGGAGACAGGAGATTCTGAAGCTCATCAACCTTGTCTAAAAAAGACAGAACAACAAGTCTCAACAACCCAAGCATAACACAGAAACACTGTGAGAACCAAGCAGATGAAACCTGTCAGTCACTTCTTTATAATAGCTACTATCTGCATCAGGGCTGGCAAGATGGCTCGGAGAGTAAAGGGGCTTTCGGACAAGCCTGATAACCTGAGCTTGATCCCTGGGACCCACATGCTAAGAGAGAACCAACTCCCACACGTTGTCCTCGGACCCACACACAAGCACCATGGCACACACATCACACCCCCCACACAACACAATACAATAAATTACTGCAATAAAAAACATTTTTAAAAAACTTGCCGGGCATTGGTGGCGCGCACCTTTAATCCCAGCACTCAGGAGGCAGAGGCAGGAAGATCTCTGTGAGTTCGAGGCCAGCCTGGTCTACAGAGCGAGTTCCAGGACAGGCTCCAAAACAATGCAGAGAAATCCTGCCTCGAAAAAGAAAAAATAAATAAATAAATAAAACAATAATCTTAGAGCTGCAAAGATGGCTCTGTGAGAAAGAGCTCTTGTTGCTCTTGCAGATTATCCAAGTTCAATTCCCAGCACCCACATGGTGGTTCACAACCATTCATAAAACCAAAATTGCTGGACATCAGATGCTGCTGCCTTCTGACCTCTGTATGTACCAAGCATATATGCGGTACATACATACATACACCATATACACACACACACACATACACACACATACACACACACACACAGCCCACCCGTGAAGGAAAAACGCACATAAAACAAAATGAATAAATCTAAAACTGTATTTTTCATAAAAATCAATAATCCCTGCAGTAGTGTGGTGGTGTGCACCTGTTATCCCAGCAATCAGAAGGCCGGAGGAGGAGGAGAGCCACAAACCAGAAGCCAGCATCAGCTACATAGCGAGTACCAGGCCACCGGAGGTTACATAGCAAGGCTAACTCACAACCAAATCTCTGCAGTGACTTTGACTTTCAAAGTCAGGAGAAGCAGACCTCGGAGATGTGCCAGCATGGTGGGTGTGGGGGAAAGATGCCGAAGGGGAGGGTCTGCTCCCCACTCCCACCAGACTCAAGCGGAACATCCCAGAAAGGAGGGGCATCCTCCAGGAAACACACAGTGGCAACGGCAACCCTTAAGATGCAAGCCACCGCTCCCCAGAGCACCCCAGGCACTAGCCTCCAACTCCGCCAGATGCACAGGGCAGAGAAGATCGCAGCAAAGAAGCCCTCTCCTCTTTGAAGATGGGCCTGCAAAGAATGGAGCCTCAGATACAAGCCCTCTGTTCTGGGAGGACGAGACGGTGAACAAAAGTCCTCCTATGCCGGGACACAGAGACAAGAGAGACAGGAAACAACCGCACACAGCCACTCTCCACAAAGCCAGTCTGACCATCACAAGTGGCCAAAGTCGTCACAGTTCTGATCCTCAACTTGGGAACATCTACAGAACAGTAAAAGACAAACAAACAAAAACAAAAACAAACAAAAAACAAACAAACAAAAATCCCAGGGAGGAGAGAGCTTGGAGGTGGGGTCCCATCAGACTCTCCTGTCACTCAGGCTGACTTTGAAACTCTGCTTAGCTGAGGACCGTCCTGCCTCTATCTCCTGAGAGTTAGAGGTGTGCGCCATCACCCCAGGCCTAACAGGTGCACCCTAGGCCTGAACTCTACCAAACCAGGCTACACACCCAGCCCCACCGGGCTCCAAAATGAGAGCATCGGTAGCCAGTGCTTCTCACAGGGAGACAGAACAGCACAGGATGAAGATGGCCAGTGAGAGCTAAAAAGGGGTGGGGGGGACTGAACTCCAGACACACCTTAAACACTGCACAGCCAATGGGCACTGGCAGTTTAAAGTTTTATTATGCACGTGATATGCATGAGTGTTGACAGTGTCTGTGTGGAGCTCAGAGGAAACTTCCGGGAGCTGGTTCTCTCCTCCCACCGTGGGTTCCAGGGATCAAATACAGTGTCAGGTTTACACAGCATCCTTCCCCCCCACCCACCCACTGAGCCATCCATGGCCGTGACTTTCTTTTTAAATGACAACCAAGAATGGTTCGAACTAGCTCTTGTAGACCAGGCTGGCCTTGAACTCACAGAGATCCTCCTGCCTCTGCCTCCTGAGTGCTGGGATTAAAGGCATGCACCACCAACGCCCGGCATCCAAGAATGGTTCTTTTCTTTTTTTTGTTTTTTGTTTTTGGAGACAGGGTTTCTCCGTGGCTTTGGAGGCTGTCCTGGAACTAGCTCTTGTAGACCAGGCTGGCCTCGAACTCACAGAGATCCGTCTGCCTCTGCCTGAGTGCTGGGATTAAAGGCGTGCACCACCAATGCCCGGCATCCAAGACTGGTTCTTGAGCAAGGCTTTCTCTCCTCCCCTTATCCACCCACCTCCTCCAGGCAGCTACCAAGATTTACAGCTTGCCCACCCTGCTATTTTTATATTGAAGTTTAATAAAATTGTCCTCAAGCATTAAAAAAAAGAAAAAACTTTCACTTTTCAATGAGCATCTGAACTAGGATAATTTAAAAATTCTGTCTTTGCCTCATCAAAATTGTAGGTACCCATTTTTCCTTGTCCCTCTAGCTTTGTTCCTCGCTATCTTTTCTCTTAGTACTTTGAATTTTATTTATAAGCATTAACTGCAGAGGAATCGTGGCTCAGGGAGTGCACAGGATGTGTGGAAACTGTCTGAGGTCCAGCCCTTACTTCCTGGACAGTGTCGCCATCAGCCAGCCACAGACACACAGGTTAGCACAGGATTACCCCACCCATCCAACCTAGTACTTTTGAGCTACTCTACCCATAATGCCATGGGTCATTAGAAACATCAAGTCCTTGTTCTTCGAGCAAAGGGAAGATAAATAACCCAGGAAACTAGATCAAGAGGTGACTAATGCTATGAGGAATTAACAGTAACTCAGGAGAACAGGCAGGGAAGGGAACGTCGGTCTTGGCTTTACAGAGGCCAGGCAGGATGTCTATAGTCCTAGGATTAGTGTTTCAGGCAGATGGCCCAAGAAGGACAGAGCAAAGACCCTGCAGCAGGGAGGGACACAGGGAGGAATGAGGAATGAGAGAAGGAAATGGGGAGAGGTCCTACAGCTGTCGCAGTTGGGAAAACCAGGCAAGGGATGGACCAGGATAGCAGGCTCTGCCCCTATGTGCCAATCACAGCTCAGCTCTCAGAGACCCTGACTCCATTTTGCTGAGACTGTAGCCTTTTCTGTCTCCTTCCCAAGAATGCAGTTTGCTCAGTAGGCACAGGAAACCTCACTCCAAGGCACCAGCCTGTGGGAGGGGCCATCACCCGGGGATGCCTGCAGAGCAAGACTGTCTTCTATTTCCCGGTGGCTAATCAGCTGAACAAGCCGGGCTGGAGAAGCCCATATGAAGACTTAGGTAAAACAATCTGAGGAATGCTGAGTTTTGTCCTGCTGCTCTTCCCTAGGCTTCCTCACCTCCATTCCAGTGATTTTCCAGACCTAAGCCCTCAAGCCTGGGAGATCAGTGAGAGATAGTCTGCGGTTCACACTTTGTCTGCCCAGCTAAAACTCACGTTGGAAACTCTGAACAAAATAAGTCTGAGTGCCCCGGGGCCCCTTGGAGGTTCTAGGTCCATTCTGAAATGTGACCTGGCTTTTACATTTTTCCCCAGTTGGACAAGGGAGATAGCTCAGTGGGGGGGGGGAGGAGAACACTTGCTGTGAAAGGAAGAAGACCCGAGTTCAAATTCCCAGGTGAAGATGATCACGGTCCAGTTTATATAGTTGTATATACTGAGCCCTTTGCCTAAAATGCTTCCAGAGTCGGGCCCGTGGCTTGGAGCAGAGAACTCTGTGTCGACTGTGTAAAGTCCCGGGCTCAACACTCAGCATAGCAAAAAGTAGAAAAACAGAGGGAGGGGCCACCCAGTCACCCCAGGCTAGACCAAAGCACTAGAGCTGCTTAATGGCCAGGTGAAACACAGAGTGCATTTACGCCCAAGCCGGTGTTTCTTCTGGGCTCAGCAGGTAAGAGAGCTTGCAGTTGTTCAGTTCCTAGCATGGTCAGGCAGCTCAAAGACAAGTATAAATAACTTCATCCAGCTCCAAGCCCTTCTGCCACCTTCTCCCGGCCTCTGAAGACACTACACACACAGCCACATCCATACAAGCACATAAGTAAGTCAAAAGGAAATTAAAACCGGCGTTCCAACTCCAACTTTCAAATGCTGGTTGAGATTCCGAATGATAAAATGTCCAGACATTCCTTCTATTTGTGTGAACCACACTGTCTTCCAGCCCCCCCCCCCCGCCCCTCTCATCCAGATTAGAGCAAAAAAGAATGTGCTGGGTCCCGGTCTTTCTAAGTAACTCAAAATCCCGTGGCCTTAATAATTTCACCAAGGCCTCAAAATTCCTTTATTTGAGAAAATTTCCACAATTCTGGAAATCAAGGCTTTTTTTGAGACAGGGTCTCCCCTAGATAGCCCTCGCTGGCCTTGAGCTCAGAAATGTACCAGCCTCTATCTCCTGAGTGCTGGGGTTAAAGGCAAAGACTGGGGGACACAGGCAGGTAGGGCTGGAGTCTGAAGACGTGGCTCAGCAGTTGAGACCACAGCTGCTCTTTCAGAGGGCCTGGTTCAAGTCCAGCACCCACGTGACAGCTTACATGATCTGTTCAGGCCGGTCCAAAAGATCCGACATCCTAGTCAGGTCTATGTGAATACCAGACATGCCTTGATACACGTTCACAGACAGGGAAGCGCTCATACACACAAAGTAAAAATAAACCTTAAAAAAAAATATGTCAGAGCCAGGCAGTGGCGGCACATGCCATTAATCCCAGCACTGGAGACATGAAGCTCTCTCTGCATGCATTCCTGCAGCTCTCTCCTCCATTGAGAAAGAATGCCTGATCCGCTCAGGGCTTTTTATGGACCCTCTCTGAGAATCTGAGGTGATCTGAAGAAGAAACGCTACAGCTTTGGGGCCAATCAGAGGAAACTGTAGGAAGCTGAGAGCTAATCTCTTTTGAGAGGACCCTGGTGTAAGACTCGGAGGTAATAAAAAATACAGCTCCTTAAAAGGATGAGCTAAGGGAGCTTGGAGGTTGGCTCACTGGCTAGGATGCAGGCTGCTCCTCCAGGACTCAGGTTAGATTCCCATCAACCACGTCAAGTGGCTCACAGCCATCTGTTACTGCAGCTAGCTCCAGTGGATGAAATGCATCTGGTCACTCACATAGATGTACACAAACTTATTTTAGATACAAAAAAGATGGCTGCTTTCTGAACCCAGCTAGAAAACATCACCCTCACTTTAACCAAACCCCATCAGTGGGGAAGGGACAGTAATAAGAACGGGGCCTAGGAGAGACCTGGGAGGCAGAGGGGACAGACAGAAAACTCAGAAGCAAAGATCCAGGCTAAGGGTATGAGTCAGTAAGGCGGAGACTCTCGGCTTAGTGTATGCAAGGGTCTTGGTTCAACAGCCAGCCCTGGGCTTTCAATAAAACCCATCGTTTTTATTCCCCAGATTACCAATACTGTCTCAAGCCATGCCAAGAACACAAGCAGAACAGGTGGGCATCCACACATACAACCAAGCTACACACAAATTTCAGTCAACAAACACATTGCTTTCCCTGTGACCTTACCTTGCACTGGATACTTTGTATAAAAGTATTAAGTCCTTTCCGTTGAAAAACATAATAATTTCTTTTCAAAATTGACTTACTAACCTTTACAAGACATAGATTCAGTAAGTTTGCAGGGAGTTCCAGGACAGCTAGGGGATACCAAGCTTTTCATGTAGTATAGCCGAGTCCTGGGGGTGCTGGGGGTGGAATTCCAGGCAGGCCTTTCTGCAAGAACTGAGCCCCACCTCCAACGACTACAGAGGGACTTCTTGGAAGCTATCAAGCTGCCTATACGGATTAGCAGTTAAGCCTATTGCTTAGGGCTATGGGGGGGGGGGGAGTTACTTTTTAGTACACCAGAAATCACACAGACAAAACCCATAGCAGCTCACGGTAGCATGTTTTTACTCTATTTTGGTTTAAAACAAAATGGTTGTGAGTAGAAGGCTTAAGATCTTGAACTCGGCTTCCCCTTCTGTCTCCAGCACGGTCCCTCCTCACTGAGCACTCCCTGTGGTTCAAAACTGATGAGTCAAAGTTTCAGCCCCTGTCTGAGCTCTGCCAGGATGTGAGGTCACAGGGACACTCTGTACTATGGATGACAATCGGCCTCGGGTATCAGAGCCAACAAAGTGGCAGAGCCAAGCACCCATGAAGATCTACAAACCCCTCCAGGCTCCAGGCTGGTGGATACAGATGAAGGACTGTCAAGTCCTGAGGAGATCTGTATCTTTGTCCCTTCAGTAACTCCCCAGCGAGCATGAGACCATGTCATACAAAAACCACACAAGCTAGATGGAAATGAAATACAACACTGAACTGTAAGAGTCTTCTATGGTTTTTAAGGACAGAAGACACAGTGCCTTTTTCTTGGACAAGCAGAGTGAAGGGTTAAGCTGACACAATTAACAACAACAGCAAAACCCCTCAGGTTCCTATTCATCAATTGACTCTCTTCCAAAAAAACGCATGATTAATAAAATAAAACAAGCAGCTTACTGCTAGGTAAATTTTGTTCTGGTGACAGTCTCAAATGACTTTTTTCATCCCCGACTATAATTTAAATTTCAAGAAATATGTATAAACTTATGCAAGTTAAAATACCCCACCCCCAATCTCAACCTGAAATCCATTACCCCCAATTGAACCTCCTGCAGATGGCTTACCCTAAAAGTCTCAGCCACTTCTGATCCTCTGTCTCCAGCACAGGGCGCTGAGCATCCATTACTGCAATCCTAGAAAATAAAAATAATTAAACCTCCATTAAGCAAAGTCAGGAGGGTCATCGCGGAAACCTCATCAAGGGACTTACCATCACAGGAGACAGAAAAGCCAAGCCTGAACCGTCCAACACCCCGGGTCAGCTCCAGCCAGATTGATGCCCCAGCCTCCCCAACTGTCTCCAGGCCTGATTTATCTTCTAGAAGCTTAGGGAGGGGCTCCTTAAATTCCTGGTTAACCCAGGTGCCAGGGTTCACCCGCAATGAACAAGAAAGCAATTGTCTCCCGAATGTCCGAGTGAGTTGCCTAGAAGGAGGGTTTAAGCCATTTATAGGTTGGGGGGGGGGAGTCTCCGGAGCGCGCTCAGCCTCGTGGTCTTGTCAATCACAGGCGCACAATAGGCAGGCTGCCTGAAGTGGGAGGGGGCACGGACTGGCTGGAACCATTTTCTCCACCCGCAGGGTCCCTGGTACTTCGGTGCGGCCAAAACCTCACGCTTGAAGAACAAAACCTCTTGATACCGGTGGCAATTACATAAATAAGATTCCGTAGTTCCGAATTAACTAGGGAAAGGGACAGGGATGCAAAAAGAGCTGGACGCTAATTTGCTAAGTAACTGGGAAGGAGGCAATGGGAAGGAGGGAAGGAACGGGTCCAAGCTTGCAGAGGCTGAGGTGGGATATTTTGGGGTAGAGAAGTTTCCCTCAGTCTCCACTTTTCCAGGGCGTGACACCCGCACCCCTGGTGACATCCCCTCTATCCTGGTGGTGCCCAAGTCTCTGTAGCGACCATCGAGTTCTCCGCGTCCCTGATAGCGACCCCAACATCCCAGACGACGACTCCTGTGTCCCCAGTGAAAAACCTTGAGTTTCCCCAAGTCCCATTGGCTTTCCCAGTGGCGACCCCTGAATCCCCACAGTGACTTCTCAGTCCTCAGTAATGTCCTCAGTAGAGACCCCCAGGATGACCCCAGAATTCTCTGCAAACACTAGCCAGCTCTTGAGTCCCCTGTGGCGACCCGCAAGCACCCATGAATCATCTCCACCCCCCGAGTCTCCTCGTGGCAACCCCCGCCGCGACCCTGAGCCTCCCAGTCCCTGCATCCTCTCCTCCGTGGCGACCCCCGAGCCTCCCGTGGCATCCCCTTGTGACCCGTGACGCCCTACGGTGATCCCCAAGAACTTCGTGGCGCCCTCCCGCTGTGATCCCCAGTGAGTACCCCGCGGGACGCTGGTCTTGGCGCCCCCTCGCCCTTGGCTGTGCGGGTACCTGGCGGGCCAGGGTTGCAGTTGCCCGGGGCAAGCAGGCCATGACGAAGCTGTGCGCGCGTGGGAATGCGTGGCGCGGCGGCGACACGTGGCGCACGGCGAATCCCGCGAGCCCGGGACTGCTGTTCCGCGTGACCCGCACTGGAGGTCGGAATGGAGAGGCACCGGCGAGCACCCGACACAGGGAGGAGCGCAGACGCTGCAGCATCTCCGTGTCGTGGGTGCGTGAAGTCACGCGGGGCTGAGCACGCGTATCGAGGACCCAGGAGCACCCGGGTTTTACTCAAGAACTCTGCAGACCCGGGACACCTCTGCGACACATTTGCATCACAATGGCTTTCTCTGGGACTCCCGAGGGGGAAAAGGAGCCGGGTTTGCATTTGGGGACCGGCATTTGTGCCCCTGCTTTGGCCTGACACCGACTAACCGCAGAACATGAATCTGGTTTTCCTGGGCTCTGCTGGCAGCCTCGGAAGCAATCTCCATGAGGTTTATCTTGTTCAGGTCAAACAGTGTCCCCTGCTAGCTGCTAGCGTGGTGGCTGTCGCTTCTGACTGCTGCCAGTTCGGAACCAACCGGAGCTACAGCGAGACCCTGTCACCGAGACAGACCAAAGCTAGGGGCTGGAATGATGGCTGGGGTTAAGAGTTTGATTCCTAACACCCATGTCCACCACCACCCTCGGCTCTAGGGATCCCATACCTCTGGCCTCTTGAGTGCCAGAACACATTAATTAAAAATGCCCAAGCCTACTGCTTTGGCATTTTTCTGACAGTGGGCTTCAATAGCAACGTTAGAAAGAGGAGCTACAGAGGTTTAGAAGTTTTAGAGGTTTAGGTTTAGTAAAGAAACAGGGAGAGTAGGACAGCTTTAGTCCACTCGCTCCAGCGCCAAGTTGGAAACCGTGGCTGTTCCAACAGCCCAAAGAATTTCCCTTACATGTATTTTCCTTAACTTTTTTTTTTTAAATATTGAGGCATATTTGTTCATCGTTACTAAGGTACACTACAGTCCCAGGGATTCTTGGTCAGTGTCAGCCTGAAGGCAGTGAGTCCTCGTTCCAACATTTAAAGTGGGCACTGGGTTGACCTGGCCGACCTTGAAATGGGAAGCTGGCCTTGCATTGTGGGAAGAAGGCAGTTAAAATCCACCTGGTTTCAAAATTGTGCTATTAAGTAGCTGGACAGAGAGCAGCAGTCTTGGAAGCCATAGAGTGTGGATCCCTAACCCCCTGGTCGGCTTTGAACCCCACCTGCTGTTTCCCAAGTAAAACTAGAAAGGAAGCTTCACAGCTGCCCTTATTGAAGATTTGAAATTCTGTACTCAAAGGCAGAGGCATCGGAACTCTGTGGAGGTCTTTCAAAGGAGAACTACTTCCTCCTGGTCAACAAAAGAAGGGAATCTAAATTCAACCTTCAGCCAGAGAGGAGAAGGAAATTCTGATCTGCCCTAAAGATTAGAACGTTAAATACTACTGCCTCCTCCCTAAAGACTTCACTATTGGGCCTGTCAGTCACCTGACCAGGATATGACTGGGGGGATTCTTCAAAAAGCTCAAAGTTGGTTTACCTCAAGACCCAGCTCAAGTGCTCTTGGGCACATACCCAAAGGCCCGAAATGTTACTGCTTATCCACGTTCATGGCCGCTCTATTCATTATTGCCAGGAATTGGAAACAGCCTAGATGTCCATCAAGTAACTGATGAGTGGATAATAAAACGTGGAATGTTTACACAAAGAAAACTATGTAACCGTCAAGGAAAATGAGATGTGCAGCAATCTTCTTGAGGTAACCTAGACCCCGAGCAACAGATACGGAATGTTTTATATGTGGATGCCAGCTTTTAAGCTTTAAATACTTGTTTCAGTGAATAATCGCAGAGGATGGGTAGCTTGTAAAGGGTCTTCCAGGGCAGAAGAAACAAAGTGTGTGGTTTTGTAAAGAGACAGAGGGCAAACTGAAATAAGATTGAACAGGGGCAGGATGGGGAGAAGAGGAAAGGAGTGGCCGTGGGGAGGGGTCATTGAAAAGCCGCACGGAAACCTACGGCTACAGAAGCTTCCTGAAACTAATACGAGTATCAGGAGAAATTAAAGGGAATCACCAGACAATGGGGGAGACAATGCCCAGCTAGACATCTTCTGCCACCAAGTAAAACCTCCAGCGCCAGGAATAGGTTCTATCTTGTTGAGTTTTTTTGGGCAAAGAGACCCCATGGATTCCCAGACATCACATGCTACTGCAAAGGCTATTGGTTTCTCTCCATAACCCGATGGTAGGGGTCATCTTGCTGAAGACACAGCTTACTTATTTCCCCAAACAAGGCGAAATCGAGCCAGGGTATCCAGCTGCCGCTTCGTCCCTACAGATGAGCATGCATGGTGCTGGAAGGTTCGACGTGCTACCAGAGGAGAAAGGTGAAACTCCCGGCAATGGGCCTGTGCCTACAACAGCAACCTGACTGGAAGACAGACTGGAGCAGCCGCGGCACAGATGTCGTTGTTGGATCCAAAGTGGAGCCCCCAAACGGCAGTGCTGGTGAGAGCATCCCAAGGAGAATAGCTCTGACTCGACCAAATAAGCGAAAGGATTGTTTGGGGGTAAAAAGAACTCGGAGGGGTTGTGTTTACCAAGAAAGCCACTATATTTCCCTAACCTATCCTCTGGCAAGGGCATCTAGTTCCTGCTGAATAAACTCACACTAATTCCCAGACTCTTCCGGCCCACACCTCTCCCTCCCTGTCTCTGTACATCTGACAAGGCTTTTCCTGCTCTGTCCACACACTGCCCTCCTGCCCAGACAGCCCAACGGTTTGATTCCTCAGATAAACTTACCTTTCCACGGCCCCTCCTTTTTTATTATTATTATTAGACTTGAAGGCCCACTGTATGAGATGGAACCCATGCATAACACTACTTAAGCAGCCCAAAACCGGAGACTCTAAGTAGGTCATGGTCCTAGAGGAAAATTGACTACTGTTATTCTGCTAAAGGACCACAGCAACACAGTGACTCCTAATGACATATCGCCACGCCCATAGAGCAGGGCGTCGGTCCACCCTCATCAGAGAATTAGCAGAGACTCACAACTGGACGGTGTGCACGGTCATTTTGTCAAGCCCCTCCCCTTAAGGCTCTGTGCAGAGGAGGGGGTGGAAAGACTTAGGAGGCAGAGGCAGAGGTGGTGGTGACTCACAGAAAACCAGGCCAGCCAGAGAAAGCAGGGCTGGTGCACACGTCAACTCACAGAGACCGTGACAGCATTCATAAAACCTGCGCAGGTTCAAACCAGACAAATCCCAGGCACTGAGACAGGGAGAGGGGCACAAAGACCCACCCCAAGCAAGAAACTGTGCAGCTAATACGTGCGGGAGAGGGACCTCTGTTAGCGCCAGTGGAGTGAGCGTTCATGGTACCTCAACCACACTCCAGGGCAGGTCCCCTGACCAGGCAGGCGTAGTGGGTCAACATTAGACGGACTCTATGTTTTTATTTTGTTATTTTTTTTAGTTTGTTCTGATTTTCCCTTTGTTTTTCCTGTTTTGGTTTGGTTTGGTTTTATGAGTGGTTTTTTTTTCTTGCTGTTTTGTTTTTGGAGAGAAAGAATACGAAGTTGGTTGGGTAAGGAGTTGGGAAGGATCTGGGAAGAGTTGGGAGAGGAGAAAGAATATGAACAGGATATGCTCTTTAAAGTATTCAATAAAATTAATAAAAATAACAAATATATATAAATAAGATAAAATAAA